CCTCATCATCAGAATGAGCCATGAGGCAAAGGTCTTCTGTCTCAGTATCTAGGCAACAGAAGGCCTCATCAGAATCTGAGTCAGAACTGGATTCTGTTTCTGACAGAGGGTCTTTTTCCAGCTGTTCTGTCACAAGTGCCTTTCTCCTTCTGGAGTTGTCCTCGTACTTCTTCTTTTCTCCATCCTGTCCTTGTTTCTTGGACACCCTTGGATGGGGACAATCAGCCTTGAAGTGACCAGGTTGTCTGCAATTGTAACAGAGAAGCTCTCCACTGCTTTCTGTCGATTTGACCTTCTGGTATGGCTTTCTGTTGAAAGATGGACTCCTTCCATCTTTGGGATTCTTCATAAACTTTTTGAATCTCCTGGCAAAGGCAGCCATATATTCATCAGATAAAAGTACTGAAGGGTCAAAATCATTTACCTTAGATGTGCTGGCAGTGAGGGCTGTAGTGGTCCTCTCTTCTGGTACATCTTCCTTCTCTTCAATCATTTCAAACTCATGAGCTTTGAGATCTAAAATGAGCTTATCAGTGGGATAAGTCTTTACATCCTTGCTGGCTTGGACAGCAACCACCTTCATCTTCCATGCTGAGGGCAGTCCCCTCAACACCTTCAGGTTGATTTCTTTGGTGGTGAGTTCCTTGCCAAGCTCAGAGATCTCTCCAGTGAGAGTAAAGAGCCTGTCATACATCTTGGAGATGCTTTCACCAGGGAGAAGTTTGAAGTCATCAAACTTCTTGTTGGCTATGGTTAGTTTGTTGTCCTTCTCTTGCTCATCACCAGCTCCAATGAGCTCAAGAGTATCCCAGATTTCCTTAGCAGTCTTGCACTTCTTGATTCTGTTGGAGTACCTATCATCAATGGACTTGTAGAGGATGTCCTTAGCAATGTTGTCTAGATTGTACTTTCTCCTCTCTTCAGTGGTCCATTCTGACTTGGCTTTACTGATCATCTGGGGTCTGGTGTTGTCTATAGCATGCTCAGGATTGACCTTCTGGAAGCTTGTGAAAGGGCCAATATCTAGAACTTCCCACATCTCATCATGTAGAGCACAGAGATGTGCTTTCATCCGGATCCTCCAGTCATCAAACTTAAGATCTGAAAACATAAGATATTTGGACAAGGAGTGATCCATTATATCAGATAGAAATGAGGTCAAACAAAAAAGCAAGTGGATCTTTGTTCAGCAAATAACCTAAGATATTATTAGAACAAGGAGGCTCTGATACCACTTGTTGGTCCCGGTTATACTGGATACAGTCTAGAGGGGGGGGGTGAATAGACTGTATTGGTTTTTAGCTTTTTGAGCTAAGTACCAGATTTACAGAATAGCCTGTTCTGTTGAAGGAACAGACTGGCAGCGGATGGGGTTCTGGTAGGGAGTTCTGTTAGCCTCAGAGAAGCAAAGGCAGAAGGCCTTCTGTTAACTCGTAGAACAAGTTCTGCTGAACACAGATACCAAGTCCAAGGAGTTAGACAGTTCTATCTAAGTGCAAGTATTAAAGCAGTAAGTAAACGACACCAGGGATTTTTATAGTGGTTCAAGGAACAACTCGTTCCTCTAATCCACTGTTCCACTAAGCTGTAAAAACTGCCGTTTACAAAGCCTTAGTCCTAGTACTTAAGAAGCACTCCACGTCTTCTTCAAGCCTAGATGTGTCCTGGGATGCACTGCCTGGCTTCCTTTAACACTGGTCCTTTCACTGAGTTTCCTTGAAGTATCACCACTTCACTACTCCAGTTACTTGGACGCCCTTCTTGTAGCAAGAAGAGTTTCTGTTGACACAGGGGTTCCTCCAACTAGCTTCGTTACAAAAGATTTGTATGTGATGAGCTTGAAGAGTTTGAAGAACACTTGGAACTTTGCTTGAGTTGGAAAGAGTATTTTTCCAACTTCTGCCTTCTCTTGTAGAAGATAATGAGTTTGAATCTCAAGGAGGCTTTTTGCTTTTCAGAGTTTGAATATCTTGCAAAAGTTGCAATGTAATCTTGGCAAAGTTGTGGCAAAAGTTATACGGTTGTTCTTCGTAGTGTATCTTTTATACTGAGGTTGTCTTCCCGTTGGAGGAGAAGGAGGACAACTGCATTTAATGCGCGATCAGTTGACTTGACTAGTAGAGCCCGATAAAGTTGGCGGGTTACTATTTTGGGATAAAGTATTCCTGACATTGCGGCCTATCATCTGCAATTACTCTACGTAGTATGGGGTGCATTAAATGAGCATTTAATGCGTGCACTGTAGCTTTTCTGTTTCATACTCCTAGCCGTTGAAGGAATCTTTTTAGTTGACTTCCCGGTTCTTAGAAATTCTTCTAAGTGTCAGACCTTCTGGTGTCTTTATCTGAGAGTAGAACAGAGGAGGTCTGGAGCACTTCTGTTGGGAGTATCCAACAGAGACCCAGAAGGGTTTCTGTCAGAGTCAAGACTAACAGAGATCCTGAGGGCTTCTGTTCTGGAGCGAAGAACCAAAGGTCCTCTGTTTCAATAATGCCTTAAGAGGCACTTCTGCTCTTGAAGTCCTTCTGTCCTTGAAGGTCTTCTGTCCTTGAAGGTCTTCTGTCAAGTCGATTACTCTAAGAACTTTACAAAGGAAAATTCTAATACATAATTTCAAAAGGGGTACTCTAAAATCCTAATTAATCTAGCATCATCAAAATCTAATTACAATTATTCCTTACACAATATACCTCTTCATCGTTTGAAAATTACTTCTTGTGCATCCCACTTCTGATATGCAGTCAAACTTCAAATGATATGCCTGTTGCTCTGGATGTGTGATTGGGTTGGACTTATTTATACTAATGATTTGAACTGCTCTCAATATCTTTCTATATACCCAATGGTCAATAATGTTTAGTCTTTTAATTTGATTAGACAGCCCACGATGCCCAATAAAGTAGCTTAGTTTTGTTATACGCCACTTATTTAATGAGGGCAACTTGCATATCTCAGTACAAAATAAACTTGCGTTGTTGTTTAGCATTTATTGTCAATGTACTTTTTAAATATATTTTAATATGTTGTGCGGCTGAGGGAGATATGAGAGTACAAATCATTAAATGCAAACTCTTGGTTGATATTTGAGATGCTCTGTTTGAGATAATAATAAATATTAAATAGTACAATGCATTGAAGGATTTTCTGAAACATAGCAATTATACACTGCGAAATTTGAATTCTAATTCTCAACACTGTATGTAAATGTACTCTGCAATAAATACAGTTTATTGAGCCACAAAACGGGGTACTTTTTGAGCTCAAATTTATTGATGCAGTACCATGCATTAAATGCACTTCATTGAGCCCCAAAGTAGACAGTCATTCGTTGGCCATATGAAATGACATCCTGGAGCAGAAACCACAAATAACCCATGAAGCATGACCCGACTCGCCAATGGAGCAAGTGTTTGGGCGGGAAAAATGGCCTCACTTCTCCTGCTTTTGTATATAGAAAGATTGTACAATGCACACACACCAAATTTGATTAGAAAAAGCATTGAAAAAAATTATAATCTCATCATTGAAAATGGAGAAGAAAAGGATCAAATCCGTCGTTAATCCCCGTACTAACTAAAAAAAGTACACCCTTAGTCCCAAATTGTAAGATACATTTACTATTTACTTGGTCAACATAAATCATTCTTAATCTTTTACTTTATATATCAAAAGTTTATAAAATTTGAATTATTTTTTGCAAGTTTTGTAGCAGTTTTAATACAGTTTCTGAATATGTAAATTTTATTTTCTAAAACTAATTTGAGTCTTGATAGAGATCAATTTGCTTTATCGTCGATCAAACATCATAAACCGTAAAGTGTCTTACAAATTGGGATGGAGGGAGTATCATATAAAAAAGTATTCTTACTTTGCAGTCAAACCATTTGAAGAAGTCTTATAAAACTTGATATAAACTTGAAAAAATAATGTAATAATAATATATAAAATTGTTAAAATAAAGGGAAAAAATAATAACTAATTGAAAAACGTTAAAATAAAAAATTCATAATAATGTAAAAAAGTGAATATGTAAAAAACATTAAATTAAAATCTGAAAACTTTTAAAAAGATAGAGAATATAAAACTGATTCCAAAAAACGCCAAATTATTGAGTTTCAAATTTCTAAATTGTTCAGATATTTTATTTTTATAAATTCGAATTTTACAATTTTTTAGAGTTTTTAATATAAAAACCATGCTATTACAGGCCATAAATTGGTTATATGGCTACATTAAACGATTTTTAAAAGTAAACATACTTCAATGCTTTTTCCATATAGAGGCTTAAGTGGTAGTTTAAAAATAGTAGAACAGTCTATTTGACCATTTTCTTTTATAAATTAGATCGAACTTCATGGTATATATATTATGATCATCATCAATTAAATTGGCTTTTATGGTATGACGTTTTCGTAAACAATCTTTATTTTCGTTAATGTATAAACTTATGATGTTTCCTTTTGGAATATTTTCAGTTTCAAATCAAACCAGATCAGACCAGACCAGATCAAACTTAAAAAGATCAAATCATACCAGACTTAAACACATCAATCAAGTCAGACTGACTTCGTTAGTCATAAAATGGATAGAGATCATACATTTACCAGATCAGATCAGATTAAACCAGATCAGATCAGATTAAACCAGATCATATCAGCAAATTTTAGTCCAAAATAAAACATTCTTAATTGATATCTTAAAACGCAAAAAATTATCTAGATCGAGAAGTATATTTAATTGGGAAAATCCCCGAAATAGGACTAAAACAGTTTAACAAACTTTCTCGACGAGTACACATACTTAATTAGCTTGTACTTGGCAAATCAATTTACTCCCCGTAGAGTACACGTGAGTACGTCTCTTCCCCTTTCATCTTTCATAATAACTCCAACACTGGTTTTTGTGTTGATTGCGTAACTTTTTAGGCCAGGTAATTCCAAGGGGTCTTTAGTTAATGTTAAGGATGAAAACCATCGGTCATCGATAAATAGGGTAAGGCCCGCAGGAGCAACTGATCAATCGCTTCATATACTGTCATCCAATTCGGTCTATATATCTATCTAAACACGTACCATCTGTGATTCCCTTGGATCAATTCCATCCCTCCAAGATTATTTGATAACAAAAGTGGTGAAATTATGGGCAGTTTTGGTCAAAGTAGCAATAATATCATCCAGAACCACGACTTCAAAGGTGGGTTACACAAGTGGTACGCAAATTGCTGCAAAGCCTTTGTGGTGAATCCAGTGGACAGTAGTCCTTATGCTTTGATCACAAACAGAAGGGAATCTTGGCAATGCCTGGAGCAGGAAATCACCGGCCGTGTCTCCAAAGGTTGCATTTATTCAATCCGGGCATTTGTCACAGTCGCCGGCAAACTTCCGGGGAAGACTAGTGCAGTTCAGGCCACCCTCAGGCTCTCATACAAACATTCCGCTACGTGCTATATTTCTATTGGAAGGTATACTATACAATACATTAGCTAGAGAACAATCTTTAATTAATAGAGAATCGCAGTGGGATTTTTTATTACCAATTCTCCAAATTGTTTTCTTTTTGTTGTAACTATTGCAGAAAGACCGTTAAGCCAAACTGTTGGGAAGCTCTGGAAGGCACCTTTTCATTGTCAACAAATCCCAACAAAGTCGTCTTTTATCTGGAAGGTGCCGAGCCTGGCGTAGACATACTCGTTAAATCTGTCACCATTTCACCTTCCTCTCCAGCCCTAAAATCCGACCACACAAAAGTCAACGTACGTATCTATTTCACATGAAAAATTTCCCTGGGTTTTTAGCTAAATTCCCAAGTAGGAGTAAATCAATGTACACGTTTTAATTTAGCAAATTGCTAAAAATAGTCAAAATCTAAAATAAGATTCAATTAACAGTACGTACGTTTTTCACAAAAAATAATACGCAGTATGTACTTTTTAGTTCTTTTAAAAGAATAAAAGAAATTCTAAATAAGAGTTGATCACGAGACCTAGCTATATTGAGAATTAAACGCACAATAATACTCCATCCTACTTGTACTTGATAATTATGTGTTGTATTTGCTACTGTATGATTTATCTTAATTTAGAGATTTTTCTCTACTGATGCATAGCTTTAATTTCGAGATTTTTCTCTACTGATACTTGTTCTCTTTTTTCTTTTTTTTTGCAATCCATTCGGAACATGGGTTTCCAAATGTAGATTTTTTATTTTTTAAATAATAACATTGATATGAATTCCAAATGTATGTTTTTATTTTTTATTTTAACCATGTGAAATGACATTGATATGTAATTTTTTTAATTAGTAAATGAAAGTAAATTGTACGAAATTAATTGAAATTATTAAATGAAATTTATTTGTAATAAAAAATTAGTATAACATTTAAAAAATTAATTAATAATAAAATTCGTAAGAAAAAAAATAAAAATTAAAAAACAATGGGTAGTGGATTCTTATTTGGCAACGTGTGGTTCGGATTAGTTGGTACATGTTTTATTTGGCATTTGGAAATATATGTCCGAATTAGTGGGTGCATGTTTTGTTTTGTTTTTAAATTGCTTTTAAAGTTATTACTTTTTAAAAATAAATTAGTCCCTCCTTTAGGAAGATGTATTTCCCAATCCAAGTGTTTCTTTTTCCTATTAGGAATGCCACCTTCCGAATCCCGTGTTTCCATACTCTAATCGCAACTCCCGTGTTTTCGCATGGCTTGTTGGAAACTCCCGTGATTTCGTTTTTTCCTCCGTGATTTCACGGAAAATCATACTCCTAATGGAATTTTACATTGAGAAGACATGTGTGTTTTGGTAATATTAGCGACAACTTTCACAAAAGTAACTCTAAATTTTAATGAGGATTGATAAATCTTAATCATTTGAGGTAGAAAAGTACTTCTTAATTATTTGTTTCATATGCATGCAGGATCAAAAGGAGAAAGAAGGGATTGAAAAGAAACATGATAACCATCATCTTCAAGCTGCTAATAATATAATCCTTAACTATGACTTCTTCCAAGGATTCCTTAGGTGGGAAACAAATGGTTGTGAAGGAAACGTGATTAAAGGAGATTCAGGAAGCTCATATGGTGTGATTACAAACCACAAGACAAATTACCATGGCTTGGTGCAAGATATCACCAATCGTGTTTGTCAAGGTTGCCCTTATTCAGTGAAGGCTTGTGTTAGAATTTCAGGTAATATTGTGGGATTTACAGATATCCAAGCCACACTAAGACTAGAGTACCAAAACTTGGATACTCAATATCACTTTATTGGCAGGTATATATATATTATCTAAATATGCATTCTTAATGATCATCTTTTTTATTTTATTATGTTTAGCTAATATACAAAGCTTTCATTTATTGTCATTATTCATCATTCATCAAGTAAACCTTATGGCATTGCATATAATTAATAGATCATTCACCCAATTATAAATTAAGCTAGTGCCTTAATTCGAAAGATTTGCAACTTCTTTGTGTAACTTTCCGTTGTGTCTTTATTAAGTTATCTCTTAAATTGTTGAGGGGAAAAAAGTCACTAACTTAAAAGTTTATAAGCGAGAATAAATGTATTTGTTACGTAAAAAAACGAGCACAATCAAAATATAACGTGACTAGATTTATAATTTTTATCCCATGCTAATTCTCAACCTACTTGTAGGAAAGCTGTTTCGACAAACAACTGGGAAATATTGGAAGGCACTTTCACCTTATCTACTAAAGTGGATAGGGTATTGTTTTTTCTAGAAGGATTTCTGGTGGAGTTGAAATGCTCGTAAAATCAGTCATAATTTCATATGTCTTCCCGTCCCATGTTATGTGATGTGACGAGTGGATTAATTCTCAACTCTCTCCCATTTGTTTCATACCTTCCAAGTCTTCTCCAATTGGAAATTGCGATATTTGTACTCTCTAATATATTTTGAAGATAACATATAGCATGTTTTTAAAGTTCGTTCCACGACTCTTGTTTATTCAGTTTCAACGGCGGCCAGAACATTTTCCAAGATAAAAGTGTCCCATATGATCGAGTTATGTGTAACTACTTCATATATAAAACCCGTTTGGTAGCATGAGAATCGGCTGATTTGACTTATTCTGCTGAAATTTATAAAGTTCTGGCTGAATTGGCTGCATTGGCTGATTCTGCTGATTTAAGAAAAAAATATTTTTAAAATATAATTTATTAATAAAATAAAGAAAAAATTATATGTAAAAATAGCTAAAATGGTCATCTACACTAACTTCAGTCAATACAGTCATAAAAGTAACTACATCCTTACTTTATTTGCTTATTACACAATTCAGTGCGCGAAACAAAAATTATGTGTTAGGTGAAAAAGTTGGCTGATAAGCCTGATAAGTCGAAAAATAGTGTTGTCAAACGGCCTCTAAATTTGATAATACGTACCGTCATAAAAAGAGAAATATGTACAATAGTGTCATAAAAAAATTACGTACAATAATGAAAAAAGAAAAGAAAAAGGTATTCAATTACCTTTTGTTACGTGCAATGGTATTAGCATGTGTAACATAATAAACACCATAATTCATCTAGTGTATATATCCTAACTTTGTCGGCTGTGATCCTTCAATTCGTTTTATTTTTATCGCATTTGTAGATGCATTAATGCATAGTAATATCACTATAAAAGACTACTCAGACTTTCGTATGTTAATTAGGACACACCTCATATTAGTTTATTTGAGTTAAATATATGGATAAGAATTTTGCTAGCAAATATTTTTTGTTTGATTAGATGATTATAAGGTTACTTAATTTACTGATTACTTTGAAAATTTTGTTCTTAGTTTAAAATGCCAATATTATTTTATCCCTTGTACATATAGTACACTGTCATTTTCTTTGTTCACTGTTATTTATAGCTCTTATAGCTTTTAGATCTAATTATTTGTTCAATTCAAGAATTGCTTTGGCAAATATTTGAAATCAAACATACGAAATCAAAGTTGTCCAACTTGAGCCAGGATCGAATATGCATAAGATATTGACTATATAAAAGAAGGATAGAAAAGTAATTCCATCAACTCAACCATACAATAATACTATCCTCCGTATAGCATTAATTGCAACATTGGAATATATGCATTATTCATATACTTTACTTTGACTACATTTTATTTATTAATGTATGTGAATTATTTTTTTGAAAAATATTGTTAAATTAATCTCATTACTAAGTTTTATAATCTGATTTTTATTTTAATTTTACTAATACAGAATTAGATATAATGATGGTCAAAGTTGTGTGTTGGTAAACGTTAAATGTTGATTGTTGCAACTAAAAAGAAGTTTTTAGTAGGAAAAGTGGGTCTTGGGTTGTTTTTTTGGCGGAAAATAATAATCAGCCATAACAGCCCATTTAATGGGCGTTTGGTTTTTTTTTTCATTTTATGGCTTTTCAGCCTTATTTTGGCCCTCCAAACAGCCACAATATGAATAATACCTTTTCTTTTTCATTCAAGTGTTTTCAAACAAAAAAGGGGATTGTGTTGATTTTTCTAAAAGAAGTACTAGTACTACTTAAATATTTACGTAATACGCAATGTTTTTTTTATAATTACTTTAATTTTGATCTGATATAAATTTATTTTACATAATCAATTCCATTTTACTCTATTTTCAAAGGTGTGTAGATAGGGGTCCATTCAGGCCCTTGTAAAAGAATCATCCCCTTCAAAATGATTGGTCATATTGACTTTTTTTATCAATGGTAATCAAGTTTCACCAAAGATCTTTATTAATTATACAAATTTATTTAAAATACGTAGATTTTATGAACATATTCTGAACATAAAAATCTTTCATAAAAGTGTAAAATTTATAAAACATACATAAATACAATGATACGTAAAATCATTACTTAATTTTTAACATAATTGAAAAAGAAAAATCAATTTCACTAATCTTTTTAGGACATAGTTAGTACATAAAAGACTCCATCACTAAGACAGTTTGAACTATTGATCGATGCTAATTCTAACTCGGTTTTTTAAAGGAATGCCAACTCGATATATTTACCAAATTTAATTAAAAACACTATAATATGGGTTATAAGGCTTATAAGGCTTATAAGGCTTATAAGGCTTTTTTACGCAATTAGATTAAAATAAACATATATCAATACATGCATAACATACTTTTTTGGCTTATAAGGCTTATCACCCAACCTTTTTATTAAACATGTGTTATTTTATTTCACGAGTTGAATTGTCTGACAATAAGGAAAGATAAATCTGAAGTTATTTTTCTGACTGTATTGGCTAAAATTACTGTAGAGGATTATTTTACCTACTTTCATACAATTTTTTCTTTATTTTATTAAGGGAAAAATAATTTAAATACCTCAAACGTTGAAGAGATGTGATCTAAGCACCCCAAACTTTCATATGTAATATTCATACCCCGAACTTTATATAAAATGTAATATTAGTACCATGAACACATGTTTTTTTCATTCACAATGTAAACTTATGACGCTTTAACTACATCACTAAAAATGTTTAAGTATTTTAAACCATGTGCTTAACATCATAAGTTTACATTTTCGAAAAAAAAAATGCATAGTAATGGTGCTAACATAACTTTCTATGTAAAGTTCGGGGTATATATATTACATATGTAAGTTTTGGGTGCTTACCTCACATCAATTCAAAGTTTGGGGTATTTAAATTATTGGAAAATTTGAAAATAATAATCCCAACTATTGATTATTTTTGTATAATCCCAATTATATGGATTGTTCGCCATTAATAGTCCATGACCACATGTTACCTGCTCTAACAAGTGAATTTTTAATAGAAATTAAGTGTAAAAATTAAAATTTGGGATTATTTATAGGGATTACCTGTTATATCTCTTTATAAACTATAGAAATTTATTTATAGTCGGTCATGTCGGACCATTATTGGCGGAAGGTCCCTAATCGATAGATGAGATTATTATGAGCGAACTGCCAATAGTTGGGATTATTACAATCAATTTTTCCTAAATTATTTTGCCATTTTATGAATTAAATATATTTTAAATATAAGTTTTCCATAAATAAGCAGAATCAATCGATCCAGCCATTTCAGCCCGAACTTCATGAATTTCAGAAGAATCATCTGATTCAGCAAATTTCAATATGTCCAAACGGGTTCTTAAACAACCATAAAAACTATTAATTGAATTTACAACATACGAAAAGACCATAAAAAGATTTCTTATTATGATACATGCAACAAAAACTATAAATAGGAAAAATAATAATATATAAACACATTAATTGAATTATAATGAATAAAAAACTTCATTAAAACAGTTATATAATCCCTCAAGAACATCAAAATTGTCGTAAACATAATGTACTACGCGTATCTCATTTTATAATACTTGACCAAATTGACTTTTCTATGTCAATAATAATAAAATTTGGACAATACGAGTATATGATTTTAATTATTATCATTGTTCTACCAATTGCTCCAGGTGTTCCACTAGCCCCCCTAGGTGCTAGACTACTAGTCATGCATGGTAAAAATGGATCCTATAGTGCACAAAGTAATAGATCTTCTTTTTATTTTTCTATATGAAATATTTCTTTCCTATAAAAGATAATAAGAAATAATAAATTTTGATGCATTTTTTAATAATCGGAATATAAATAAAAAATATACTACGTAAGTAAGTATAACACATTAAAAACAGATACTCCCTCCGTTTCTGAAACAAGTTCCACCTTTCCTTTTCGGGCAGATTCAAAATTAAGTTCCACTTTAAAACATTTCCTTATTATCTATATCAAAACAGTGTCAAACAGTGTCAAACAATGTTCAAACAGTGCCAAACAGTGTTCAAACAGTGCCAAACAGTGCACTCCACAGTAAAGTCAAATTTATTTTCTTAATATGTGTGAAGTCAAATGTGGAACTTGTTTAGGAATCGGAGGGAGTACATAGGAATTTTTAAAGTGTTAAATTATTTTTTGACTTTATATATTCAATATTGGTGTCATATGAAAGATAATAATAAGTTGTGAATTTTGTTATATTTTTTGTAACAGTCAGAGTACAAATAAAGAAGTTATAACACTTCAAAGAAAACATGAAATTTTTTATTCAAGTGGGACACACTACCATTTATTCTTCACTTTGACATTAGTGTTGCTTCTTGCGTCAAGTAATCCTATTTAACAAAGCCGACACTTGAACGGGCGGCTCTTGTACTGCGAGTGCAAACTTTTCTTAACCACGATTAATCTAGCAGTATTTTGGGAATTACTTTTAACCTGACAATATTTTGGGAATTATTTATTTAATTAACATTATTTCAGGAAAAAACTCGAGTATAAGATTAGGAATTAATCGAATAAATAATTTAATTTCATAAATAAACACTAAATAAAGATTTATTTGTTCAAAATTGAACTCTTTCAAGTGGCGCATAGAACTCAGTACTACTAGTATATTTTAACTTAATAATTGTTAAACCTCATACAAAGTGTTTTTCTCTCATGAGCCATACTACGTGCTCAATAAAGAGCACAGGGCCGGCCCTGGTGATGTGTAGGGTGTCCAACTGCACAGGGCCCAAAAAATTGGAAGGGTCCAATTTTTTTTGTAGTAGTATACTACTACCTCCGTCCCGCTATGATTGTGTCATTTTACCTTATCGGTCTGTCCCATTAAGATTGTCTCATATCAAATTTGGTAAAGTTTGTGTGTCTCTAAATCATTCTTACTTTATTCTTACTTTATCACTTCTTATTAATTTGCGTGTCACTCCCTCTTGTCCCAATGTTAACGGGATGGAGGGAGTAGTATTACTTAGGTGGACTAGGGCAAGGCTTTGAAGCAGGTCTAGTTCGTCACTTCGCGTATTCCTCATCTACAAAGGAGGAGCGTGTATATAGGAACGAAGGAGAAGTAAATCCTCCGTTTCCACCGATGTCGGAATCTTAAGCTTTTGAAACAAAAAAGAAAAGAAGCGAGACATGCGGGATTTGAACTCAGGTGAAAATAAAAGCATGCACGCTGATTTCTAAACATCAACCACCGGACCAAATCAACTAATTGTTGAAAAACGGACGTACAAGTTTTATATTACCTATTTGTTCTACAAAATAAATAATTAAAATACCTCTTAATAAAAATCGGTTCGGTTTGAACCGATTTTATAACTCAAAAAACCTTCATTAAACCGATTTATGTTCGAGTCTTGACTTTCGGGTCCGGTTTGAGTCGGTGCGGTTTCAATTCGCTTTTTTAACTTGTGTTGGAACTTTGAAAAGAATGTCCAATTATTTTTTTTGCACAAGGCCTTCATTTCCTCAGGACCGGCCCTGAAAGAGCACACTATGTGCTCTCTAAAATTTTCGTAAACAGTATCCTGCAGTTTGAATTTTACATAATTGCATACTAACATGGATTTTTTTTTTCAAAAACGGAATGAAAGTGCATTTAAAACTTTAGGAAATGAACTAAAAATATATTAAGTCTGGATTGTTAGGAACTGAATCGAACTTGTGATTTCGATTCGGTTCTCCGAATTTACGGTTCGAGGTACCATGCATATGATGATTGATCTCTCACAACATCGATGGGGTGCAGAGTTCATGAGTTTGAGGTTGGCAAGACTTGTGCTATACAATTAATCTGAGGTTTGAACATTAATTGATGGCGGTTACGGTGTCTTAGGCATTTCGCCCCTTGAACTACAACCAAGTTTTGAGGTAAAAATGATCTCCTTTTATATGACTGGTCAAACCAATCTTTTGGAAAACTGTTCCTAATCACTAGTTCAAACTCGTGGATCGGTGTGAATACCACCTTGAGATTCTGCTTGAAGAAGATGAAATACTTGTTTTGTATGAAGACAGAGAGGAGGGGGTCAACAAATGGGAGAGCTTTCTGATTGGATGTCGGTTTTCAGTTTTGTTGCTTGCATGTTTTTCTCTTTTGTTACAATTTGTAGCTAGTTATGGATTGTTTTATTTTGGTTTTATTACTTTTGTTGAGTTGAAAAGTTGTTGTTTCGTTGTAGTTGTCATCTAACGTTTTTAAGTCAAATTGGTAGTAAATTGCTTAAATCTGCCCGTCAAGTGGTTATCGAGTCGTTTGCTCCCGAGGGTTGTTTCTGGAATCATTGGGTTTATCTGGTCGTAAATTTTATAGTTTCTCACGATCATATTTAAAATACAAATAGCTTACAATGAAAAGAGTAGCATACTTTCTACGATTTCGTCAGTTCAACTTATTTGATTGTAATTATTTATTTTCTCATGATTTAATATACAAATTGTTTACACTGAAAAAAGTAGCAAATTGAGTTTATCTAGTGGTAATTCTATATCTTCTCATGATTTAATATACAAATTGTTTGTAGTGAAAAAAGTATCATACTTTCGACAATTTTGGTAGTTCGAGTTATCTAATTGTAATTATAAATTTTTTGATCATTTGATATACAAATTGTTAACAACGAAAAAAGTAGTAAATTGGGTTTATGTGCTTTCTATAGCTCTAGTGTGTCCTTTTTTTTTAAACGAGAACAATTTTATTTGTAACAAAAAATATTAAAATAAACGAATAAAAAATCTACTATAAAATTCATGTCTCATTCTATTATTATATTTGTGAGAAATTTAAATGTTATACTTTGATGAATACATTTTTAATAAAGAACAACTTATAATTTTCATACTGCACTACGTATAATTCTATACTTGTGAGTACATTTTTGTTCGAACTTTGATATACTTTAGGGATTATATACATTGTTTCTATCGGAGGTTTTTCATATTCATTATAATTCAATTGATGTGTTAATATATTACTCCCTCCGTCCCAAAATGATAGTCATGTATTTCTTTTTTGGGATGTCCCAAAATGATGGTCCTGTTTTCTTTTTTGGAAAGAAAGATGTGGTCCATATCATTTCACTTTATTATACTCAAATCTCAACCACAACTTTTACCTTTTCAATCACTTTATTAAAACTTGTGTCTAAAAGAAATGAGACTATCAAATTGGGACGGAGGGGGTATCATTTTTCCTGTTTATAGTTTTTGTTGCATATATCATAATAAGAAATCATTTTATGGTCTTTTTGTATGTTTTAACATGAAATTATTTGTTCTCCTGATTGTTTAAGTTTCAATTAAGAACTAAACTATAAAAATAATTGCATCCAGTCTCAAATTTAAGTTGAAAATGGTAGGCCGCAATAGACTAAGGGTATTTTTGATCGACTGGTTTCCGTCGCAAATCAAATCAGACATTAAAAGAATTGACCAGATCATACCAGACTTTGACGGTTATAAAATACACATAAAACAAACATCTACCCTTCGGTTCATACTAGACTGGACCACAAATTACATACATAAACTTACCGGGTTGAATCAAATCTCAATTTTTAGCCCTATTAAAAATTTTCTAAAAACTTCCACATTCTTATCACGTGATTTGAATTTTTTTAACAAGACCGGATTTTTTATTTGATCTTATCTTGTATGATTAAGTCTGATTTCGTTGGATCATCGATTACCGAATAATTTTTTTAGTTCTGGTATGTTATTATATTTGTTAGAAATTTAACTTTTATACTTTTATGAAATTATTTTAATAAAGAATTTGGCCTTCTTTGCATACAAACGTCGACATGACCGAGTTTTATGAAATAGGGGAGTATAAGATTATGAAATAATCGAATAAATAATTTAATTTCATAAGTAAACACCAAATAAAGATTTATTTGTTCAAAATTGATCTCTTTCAAGTGGCGCATAGAATTCCATTTACACACTAATTCGGTTCCTAATAGGGATATTTTTTTCAAAAACCGGAATTGAACTGCATTTAAAAAACTTTAGGAACCGAAGTAAAAATAACTTAAGTCCGGATTGTTAGGAACCGAATCGAACTGATGATTTCGGTTCAGATCTCCGATTTTACGGTTCGAGGTATCAGGCCTATGATGATTGATTTCTTTCACGTCCTATGAGTTTTTAGTTAAATTCCCAAGTAGGAGTAAATCAATGTACTAGTGGACAAATAAGGTACACGTTTTGATTTAGCAAATTGCTAAAATAGTGTTAGTAGTAAACACATAGTCAACTTTGAGATTGCTGCCGTATGATTTATCCTACTTGTACTTGATAATGTGTTGTATTTGCATTGCTGCCGTATGATTTATCTTACTTTGAGATTTTTGTCTACCGAATAGCTGGCTATTCAGCCCTTTTCTAATTTACAACTTCTACGTCTGGAAAGCAACAACCACGTTTCGAAAGCCCAGCTAAGCCAGCAAGTGGGGAGGAGATTCGCCCAGATTCAAACGGCTGCTGCTCGGAGGCTATCGGTGATGACAGTTGCGGTTGAGAGAAGTCGAGGTCCTTCCATGGTTGCTGTAAGTAATGGTTTTCTTTGAAAGAGGGGGGCGATGGAGGGGAAGAGAGAGAGAGAGAGAGAGAGACAGAGAGAGAGAGAGACAGAGAGAGAGAGGGCTTTTCAGTGTTTGAGGTTTGCAGAATGTTAAGTCTGTCTATGGCGGGCCGGCCAGCTTGTGGAGCAGAGCTAGGGCCTAGGGAGGAGGATTGGAGGAAGAGAGCTGACTGACTGAGAGGAGAAGGAAACTTATTAAAGAAAAATAATTCCCACACCGGTACCTGAGGTTTGAGCGTGTCCTCTGAGTCCCTATAAATAAGAGTGAGCAGTAGATCAGAAAACCACCCAACAGTAGCAAGGGTGCGAGGGGAAAGGATGGGACTGGAAGGAAGAAAGCGGACAGGAAAGAAGGGGGGAAGGAAAGTAAAGGGTGCGAGGGGCAAGGAAGGAAGGGAAAAGGAAAGGAACAAGAAGTGGAAAGAGGCGGGGGGATGTTGTATGGCTTTACGAAGAGACTTTATGACATCCAATCCAATATTAAGGAGGTAATGTTTTCAAATAGTGTCTACTCTTAATTTTATACTCTTTATGAAACTTCATTACATGACCAAGTGTTCTTCTTCTCCCTACTGGCCGTGAATTAATGGACCTATGGGCACAAAAATGATCAAGTGTGACGTATTTACTTTGTAAAAACTCAAACTGATTTCAGGAAATTGAATCAGAACACAACATATTGTTGGCCTGTATTTGCATTTTGGTTGAGCGTTTATATGTCAATATGTCAATGTCTGGATTATGCAATTTTTTGTATTGATTATCCAGGATTACATGAAGTTGTGATTCCTCAAGGCAAAAGGACTTGAGCCAATAGTAACATGCTGAAAACTAACCATGCTGCATGGCAAATAACTTGAAGTTGTTTGTGTCCTGTATCATGAACCAACTATTTTAAAAAGGTGTTTTCTTTTTTTATATTTCTCTTGCTACACAAATGGAGATGATGCTTGATGTGCTAACTCTCATGGAGTGAACTCATTACTTGTGTTTTCTTCTTGCTGTTAGTTTGCTTCTTTCATCAAGAGTTCTGGTTTGATTTGTTCAGATTTCAGGATATTTTTAAAAGTTACCATTCATGAAAAGAATGAAATGATGATTTTAATCATCACAGCATAAACATCCTTTCATACATCAGTACTCATAAGAGTGCTTCCTTTCTTACCCTTTTCTTGGGTGCCAACTGTGTGATTATTAGGTTTCTTCACTTCCTCTATTGCTTGGATATTTAAATGTCAATATATTGCCAATGGTGGTAAGTGTTTTTTCATTTACAAAGGAACATAAACTATTCAAGTATTCATACAAATGAGTGCTGCATATATTATCTACTGTCAACTCTGTGTTTCTTAATATACCACTCTCTGCTGCATGTTTGATCAAGTTTCAATGTATTCTCAGCCCTTTTAAGCTATAAATTTGAATTCTTGTTTTGGTTAGATTTCTGTTTGAGAAGTCTTGTGTCATTTTGTTTACTTGCTTCATATTTGCGTTTAATAATTCACTAATAGATCAATCACTTTCCTATGTTTTGTGTGCAGAGCTCTTATTTACATGTTACCGATCAAGATTTAGTGACATTGTTGATTTATCAAATTGTATCAATGAGCTGAAGTGAAATGTCTTCTTGTTGTGTACAACTGCTTTAATATGTCTAGTGATCTTATGTCAGAAATGCAAATGGTTGGAAATATGCCAAATAATACAATGCATGATTTTCCCGGATCCAGTGGCCCTGTTAATCCAGCTGAGTGTGTTGACTCATTGGTTTCTGTAAACCAGTTGGGTCAAACAGAGTACAGAACAGGCGCGGTTCAATCAAGCTGAGTGTGTTGACTCATTGGTTTCTGTAAACCAGTTGGGTCAAACAGAGTACAGAATAGGCGTGGTTCCATCAAGCTCATCAATTGCAAGCTCTGTCCCTCCTCAGCAATCCTTGTTATCTGATGGCATATTTAGAGGTGTGTCCACTAATGTTGGCGTTGAGCAGAAATTATCTTTACCGAGCAAGCGAAAGGCTGATGGGGAACTCAACTGCATGTTTCCTCCCCTCGGCAGTTGTCATCATCATCAATCAGACGTGCTGGTGGGCCTCAGCGACCAAATTTACAACCCAAAGCCAGCCCCACATCAACACAAACTGTTCCTGCACCAAACAGAAAAGCCGTGCGAAATGAGCCCCTTTCTAGTAAAGCTGGGCTCCAGCGACAGGGACCAAAAGGGAGGGCTGTACAAACAGACATAGTGGCTAAGAACCTGACCGACTCCTCCAAAGCTGTTAGATCAAAGATGAGGGAATCACTTGCAGGTGCACTTGCTTCGGTATGCCAACGTAAAAATGGATCTGCATCAAATGAGGCTAAGGATGAGAGTGAGAGTAAACAAGGACAACAACAACCATCAGAGGAAGTGAATACAGCTGGGTTTCCTGAGTTGGCAGTGGATGATATACCTTTTAGTGATAATTTCTTTGTCAAAGACGATCTTTTGGATTTTGTTTGGATGTGGAAAGAGGCGGGGGATGTTGTTTGGATTTACAGGAAAGGGAAAAGGAACAGGAAAGTAAAGGGTGTGCTATATAATGATCATTGATGGCAGGAATGTTGTTTGGCTTTACAAAGACACTTTATGACATCCAATCCAATATTAAGGAGGTAATGTTTTCAAATAGTGTCTACTATTAATTTTGCACAGATTGCTTCCAGAATACTTAGACTGATTAGGCAAATGGTTTATTGCTTTCATCATCAGGTATGAAACTTCATTACATGACTAAGTGTTCTTCTCCCTACTGGCCGTGAATTAATGGACCTATGGGCACAAAAATGATTAAGTGTGGCATGTTTTTAGGGCTGTGAGCCTCTCACGTATTTAATATGTTTTTAGTGTGGCATGTTTTTAGGGCGCCATATGTTAGGTTTAGGCTAGGGCTAGGGCTAGGCCTAGTTTAGGTTAGGGATTAGCTTAGGTTAGGCTAGGTTTAGGGCCGGCGCGCAGGGGGCGTTATGCTACCTCCGCGTAGTCCGGTGCGCCGGGGGCATTATAAGTTTATAATAGTTTGGAGCCTAGTGTTTATCTTAAACTATAAATTGAAATAAAACAAAATTGGTAAATATAGTAAACTTTAGATCCGTATTGCACAACTTAAAACTGAACCATCACTACTTTACATTCTTTTGGTTTTGTTTACCTAATGTTGTGTACTAGACACTTCTCTAGAAGAGTTGACCACTTCTCCGTAAGATGTTGCTAGAACTGTGAAATTATTTGGCGGCTGATATTGGCTCAAGTCTTCAAGGTTGGCTTCCAATATATCTCTGGGCTTTCTTGATTCTTATTTGTATCTTTGGTTTGTTCTTCGAACTTGTGTTTATATACTGCTGGGATGAAACCACTCATATACTTTGGCTTATTTCTTTAGAATTAATTCTTCTTAATTTTCATGAAATCCCATTTTCTCCCTACTATCGTTGTGTTAGTGCCTCGGAAATCTGCTGTCTTAATATTTCTACGTAAGAGTTTCCTTTTGCACTTGGAAACTTGAGGTTACAAGCAGTGTTATAGGCTTTTTAGTATGTTGGTGGAGCTACACAAAAAGTCTTAGTGTTATTTTTAGTTCACCGGTAAAAAAAAAATGGCTTATTACACAAAAAAAATCCAACGTTTAGAGTTCGTGACAAATCTAGTCTATCGTATACATAATTACTTAAACACAACTATCCTTTCAATATCCAAGACAAATATATGATCCGTCCAAGCTGATTCGTTAGTGTTCGTTAAGTGCCTATGTGTCTTGTACACCTAGGATTTAGCCTTCTAATTAATTAGTTGATGTGTCATTTCTAATATTTATTTCTATGTAAAAAGAACGTGGATTCATTTCTCTCCTTTGAGTTGAGAACACAAACCCTACCTCTCTGATATTTAAGCTACTTCTACAATGAAAACAAAAAACAAAGAATCTATCAAGTGCTCATTCGCAGGCGAGGTTTGTCTGACAAAGTAATAAGTTGATTCTTATATAGCATAGTAGGTATTTGATGAAATGTGTGAATGAAGTATAATGATTTCTAAGTTAAATAAAAGGATTGTGGGTATTTTTTATGGATGGAAGATCTGCACCAAGACGTCATTGAGCCTCTCGTGAAGCACGTTGATGAACTACATAAAATAAATACCTTAAATGACAAGGTTAAAGAATTGGAACTCAAATTGAGAGAGTTTGAAGAAATGATAGTTTTAGATTCCAATAAAAGAAATCTAATGAAGGAAGAAATTCAACAAGTAAAGGTTGGATATGCTCACATGGAATCTCAAAAACCTATCTCCAAAAACAACAATTGGAGGGGCAAATGGATGGATGTTCTCATGACTATATCTAAATGTCATCAATACTCACAATATACATTAAAATATCAAAGTCTCTTACAAAATGACTAAAACATTGTATGACTCCAAAAGATTAAGTTTCAATAACATGTATGGTTCCAAAATATCTTAAAAATCTTGAACATATATCCAACCTTCAATTTTTGAACTCCAACTAAACTGGTATGTTGCTTTCCATGGTAGTGTGTGTTCCTTCCATGGAATGTGCACCTTCTGTATTTGGGCCAGATGCAGCCTTCATTGACTGGCTATGGCTCTTTGTCGGTCTTCCTCTATTACCCTTGGTAATTTTTTCAGTAGATTGTTGAGTACTCGGTTTCAGGGGCCTTCCTCTTTTTCTCTACAAGTTAAATTTCAGTTAATCTATCTTCATTATTAATAAATAGTTTCATGCAAGGATTAATAACTACTTTGCTACCTTCGGTTGTGGATCCGATTCTCGTAAAGGTTGGGGACATTTTCTCTTGTTATGCCCATATGTACTACAGTTAGTACATTTCATTTTTAGTCCAGATCTCTTTAAAGTGTGTGAGATCTTCGGCTCTTCTTCAGGCGCTTTCTTTCGGTTTTTCTTGGGTCTACCCAGCATGACTCGATATGGCGGCGGTTTAATAGGTTCTCCAGGAACTTTAGGCCACATTCTTTCTCCATTCATTGGTGGGAGGCCTATTCTGTAATACTTCTTGTGTGTGAACTTTCGATATACATCATCAACATAAGTGCAAGGATCCACTCTCATGAAACTTATGCTTGCTATGGCATGTCTACACGGTAGTCCAGTCAATTGCCAGGCTTTGCAAGTGCATGTTCGTTCATTTAAGCATACCGAATACGCATCTACACCTTCATGAACTTGGAATAATCCACCAACCGAAGGTCTGGCCACACTTCTTGCAGAAAACCCAACTAGCTTTTCCAGCTTCTTCTTTATCCTTGGACATAATGTATCATCTACAAGATCATGCGACATAAGGTTCTGCTTGCTATATATCCTCTCCATGACATAATTGCGTATATCTTCCAACATGTGGATTAGAGGTTTAGTTCGCGCTCTACATATTGTTCCGTTAAAAGCTTCACACATGTTATTCTCAGATGCATCACACCTCACAGTGTACCTACATAAATGTTATTTTAATATGCAGTCCTTACTAAAATTTCATAACTACAAACTAAATAGCAGATTTAATAACGCACCTAAAGAAAGTTTTGCAAAATTTTGTAGGCCCTTTGGAGTTAAAGTCTTCATAAGCAGCCACATCAACTTCTTTAATCGCTTCCATTGTCTTTTCAAAATCCCATTCATTGGTACAGTTTACCGCACGCCAAAATAAATTTTTGAGTGCATCTCCTTTCCAGTTTTTTTCCAATTCCCATATACATGTCTTGCACATAAACGATGTTCAGCTTGTGGCATACGATCTCTAATAGCATTTGCTAATCCCTATAATAAAAGGTATGTGCAGTCAGTAAGTTGAAAAACACAAATTTAAATATTTTAAAGGTGAAAAGATGAAATATACCTTTTGGCCATCTGTTATTATTGTCCAAGAAAATCCATCATTCACCTCAAGGTCAGAACCTAACAATCCTATAAACCAATTCCAGTTAGTTTCGTTCTCACTATCCACAACTGCCCATGCTAACGGATACATTTGGTTGTTAGAGTCTCTTCCCACAGCCGCTAATAAACACCCTCCAAGCATTGTTTTCAGGAAAGCACCATCTACTCCAAACACGTTTCTTCCCACTTCCAAGTAATTCTTCCTTAATGATGAGAATCCGATGTATAATCTTCTAAAGACATGTTCTGTGTCAGGTTGTGGCTCGTAGATAAAAGTACCCTCTTTGTCTACCCTTTGCATTTCTGCTATGTAACTTCTCAACTTACCGTAGTGCTCTTCTAGTGTGCCTCTTAAGGTCCTAAGAGCTATGGCTCTTGCCCTATAACATTGTCTAGTGGTGACTGTTACAGAGTATTTCTCCATTAGATCAGTGAGCATCTCAGTTGGTGGCCAATTTGGATTGATTCTAAACTTGTGCAAGTACTTCTTTGCCATCCAAGATGCTGTTGCTTGCTTATTTCTCAATGACCTACTACATGTATGCTCTGGAAAAACACTTTTAACTACAAAAGCTTCCTTCTCCTGAAGCCAACTTGCATATACTTTCCACTTGCAACCTGCGGTGCATCTTGCATCCATCTTGTTATAGCTTGACTGTTTCCACCTTATTTCTCTTCCAGTTTCAACGGCGCTCAACATAACTGCCTCTTTGAATTGCGCAGGACTATCAAACCTTAACCCAATTTCAAACTTTAAGGTTTTATGATCACATTTTGAATCATAATGTGAAACCTTGTTTTGTTTCCTTTCCATCTTAAATGAAAGTATATCTTCAATATCACTAGGAACTGGACTATCTTGTTCATCCTCTGTGGAGTTGTAATCACTTTGATAGTATTGCCCTTCTCTGACCCAATAGTCATCACATTCACCACTTTTTTCAAGTGGTGATAAATGTGTAACCGTATCCTCATTTATAACAAAAGCAGAATATTTTTTTCTTCTAAGTTCTTTCACGAGTTTTCTGGCACCCGTTAACTCCTCGTCTGAACTGCAGTCATTACCACTCACAAATCCCTCTTCTTCTACCTCAATTTCTGCATCATTTATATACTCTTCATTTGCATCTGCCAATGCCTCCACATGTGTATCCTGATTATACCCTAAATGGTCTTCACTACTTTCGATTTGTTGGGGGTAATTGTTTTTATGAACAATGGTCTCTTCAAGTACTTTCTCCAGCCATTCTTCATCTATTGATGCATTTAAGATATTAATTGTTGCAATTTCAGAAGTCACACCACCAAGAGGTTGAACTGCTCCTTTTTGTACTTCAGATTTTTTTTCTTGCACATATATATCCACTATGCCTTGCTCACACGCTATCTTTATCATCTTCACAAACTCATTAGAGCCTTTTAGTAAGTTACCGGCAATAGGCAGTGTTTGATGGACTGCTTTATAAGCCATCATAACGGGTTTCCTAAAACCATTTTCTTGAAGAAAATTTAATATATCAAACTCACAAAACAAATCTGGGTCCTCCTCCCATTTCTTTGTCAAACATTGTACCTCACCTGCATATCTAATTGGTTCCTCACTAACAAAAATTCCACCCAAATGAAAGCAAATTCCAAACGATACTGCCATTATGCACAATCTGGGAGAAAGTAAAAGTACAATCTGAAACAAAGAAAACATAAACAACAAATTCTTAGGTCTTATAGAAATGGAAATAATAAATAACAATAAAAAACTTCTTGGCTAAGTGAAGGTATTTCCATTTTTTTTGAAAAGTATGTATTTCCTCAACATCATTTCATTTGCTTAGACTTAATGCAATCATATCTTTTCAGTAAAAAGATTCATTTTTTGCAATTTCGGATATAATGAATTAAGAAACACGGTTCAGTCATTTTGACAAACACCTATTGTGCAAAACTCTGGTTTTGTGCAAAACTCTAGTTTTGCACAAAACTTTTGGAACTCTTGTAGATTTAAGTTTCTGGAAGTAAGATAAGTAGTAATTGATGGCAAAAATTCTGGCTTCAATGTATTAGGAGTAGTTCTGGATAGTGGCAGTAATATTGACTAAAGATTGGAGTTAGCAACGTAAGCCGTAACTATGGATACGTAAAGTGGAATCTTTAAATTTCACTACTAGCAACCAATGCCTTTGATTTACTTTTGAGAAGCAAGTTTCTTCTTAAACCTATACATATGAGAAGCTTCTTTGAGTTTGACTGGTAAGGCTAGATTTTACGAACAAGGAGACTTGTACCTCATGAATGAGTATTCCCTCTAAATTAATTATTAATTAATTCAATAGTTTAATAACACCTTGGTTGATGAATCAGAATATTTGAGCTTCTTTCATATGCCAGGTAAGCAACTAACGGACTAAAATGGATGGAAGGAAACAGATTCTAAATTTCGTCTTGGATATTGAAAGGATGGCTTTGTTTAAGTAATTATGTATACGATAGACTAGTTTCGTCACGAACTCTAAACGTTGGATTTTTTGTGTGTAATAAGCCAAAAAAAATAGTTATATCTTTAAATTGCTTATTTATTTACACATGAGAATTACAAATCATTTGTTAATTTGTGGCTCATACTACCATCCAGATTGACTTGATGTCCTACAATAAGTAGATTATCAGTTTGATCGATACAAGGTTTGGGAGTTTTTTATCGACAATTATACTCTCTTGTGCCCGTAATATATGTTAGGGAAAGTGATATCACAATCTGCATCTATACCATGCAATATATTTAGAGGCACAACTGGGTTAAAGTCCTTTGAAATAATTAAAAAAGGGTTCACATTTATCTCTATGTAGTTTTTCCAAATGCAGGGCACCAGGGGGAACTATTTTCACCAGCAAAATGATATTCAGTTGAAAGAAGACAAATGTAATGTCAGTAAAGGTTTCATTTTACGGTCCTATAAATAAAACTAATATGATATATTATAGCAGAATAGCATATTTAAATGAGTGGTTTATGTATTTAAATATGGTTGAAAAATCTGCCTACTTTATAGATGTTGATGTTATCTCTTTTAATTCATCGCTTTCGTTGTTCTAATTTTCAATCCAAAGGGTACGCCTCTTCCTGGTACTGATCTTTTAAAAGATTAGCCTATTATTGGTTTATATACTTATTTATTAATAAAATATTTTGCTTTGAATTTTTTCCTAATGTATACCCACCCCTTCCTGATATTGTGACTCTTGGTTTCTTGGCTCTGGGAAGAGCGAAGTTGCAACTAATCACATGTATATTGCTGCCAGATTGAATGCAATTCTAATAGGTGTTTCTGATACAGCCGGAACATTAGCTCGCATTGTTGGAGCAGGTCTTGCAGGATGTCTGGTGGAATCTGCTAAGCGTTCTCGATTGGATCTTACAAGCGCAGAAAGCTGGATGGGTGTGTTTACCTTTCCAGGTTTTTTATTTGTATTTTCAGCTCTTTTGTTTTTCTATTATTCTCTACTTGAGATTGTGTTTTGACCGAGGTACTTGTGCAGTGCATTTGTTCCGTTACTTATGTTTACAGCCTAATACTGAGGAGCTCATTGATCTGGGATGTCGAATGCCCATATGGATATATTATATTGTATCACCCAAGTGTACACTGGCAAACATGGATGGGAGGGAAAGATCAAATCATGTGTGCTCATGCCAGGCCAGTTCCTTTTTAGCCAAAAAGTATTTCTAATCGTCGTGTTTTCAAAGTTTTCAAAGCTTTGTCAATTGATTCTTTTACGACGCATTAGATAGTTATTATAGTCAAGAACATTGATTAATACATTGATAGCTTTGTAGGTGTACTTAGCTTATTCATAACCAGAGACCATTGTTGGAAGGGAGTGTTTCTTCCTTTGTTTGTTGCACTCATAGATATTTGTATGTTCAAGACTCCAAAGTTATGGTATCTAGCTTTGACGGTTGATTAAAACTTGCTCCCTATTATATTTATAAATAGGTGTACACACATTTGTCCAATGTTAATGAGAAACATAGAAACATGGTAAAAAAACCTATAAATACTCCTACTCTTAAACATTTTTTCATATCTCTTCTCCAATTCTTCCTAAATCCTATTCTTAACTCTCTACTCTCTAATTCTCTTATTCTCCAATATATTATATATCTACTCTCTAATTCTCTTCTCCAAGAAGTTAAGATGGAAAATCAAGATGCCATTATACGGTATAATTTTGATAAGCAGAAGGACCCGAAGACCGGGATGTGGTACGCAATTTGCAAATGGTGCGAAAAAAAATGTATCACGGGTGCTATTTATAGTAGCAATAAATGCCGGGCAGGGACACGTGTCAAGCGCTCATTGGTCGAGGGGTCACCTCAACTGGTTGGCGTTGGCAGCCGCATGTGGCCACATTTAATGTGGCTGTTGGATGGGACGTCTATGCGGGGCACGGTGATCTGTGCGCATGTGAGGTGGATATCTTGTCGAGTGAGATGCCTTCGGCTATAGAGCAGTAGCCGAGGGCTCTTCCACCCGATGGCACCCTGGTGCGGAGGGCTCACAATGCCGAGGGCTACTGTTTTCACCGTTTTCTCCCAGTTTCTTAATTTGCTTGAGAAACCCGTTCTGTGAGAATTTGGAGCCTTCGGCCAGGGGGCCGAAGGCACCCCTAGCGCGTAGTGCGGACTGCTTGGTACTCTGGGCGCTGTGATTTGGGCCTGTTGGGCCTGTTGGGCCTTCGCTGGAGTAGTAGGAGTCTGTGGACCGGGGGTTCCCGGGCCATATACTCCATCAGGAGTCCCTCACTCCTTTTGCCGAAAGGTACTTGAGGGAAAAGGAGTAATTTGTGCTTGCCCCTTGATGTTGTCCCGTCGTGATCTCTGAAGTTGATGAGGAGTTGTTGCTTTTATGTCCCTGCCGAAGGCAGTCCCTCAGTTACCCACATGTCGGGACTTGAGGGCTTGCTCTGTTGTTTGTTGGAATTTCTACATCTTTTGTAATTTGATGATTTGCCCGAGGGGGTCTTCCAGTCCCCCACTCCTTGAGGCACTTGTAAAGTGGTGAAAAGGAGTAGAGTAGTTGCGTTGCTGTTGTGGGCCGAAGGCTGACGCTTTTCGTTTCATTTTGGGGGGATGTCTCGTTAAAAACCTCATTAGGAAAAACCCTGGGGGAAAAAATCCTAATGAGGGAAAAAGAGTGCACCGAATTCCCTCAATGATGAATCGAAAATGTCAAACCTTGGTCAAAAATGGAGAATATGGTAATGCCGAAGGCTCTTCTTTTCCTGAGGGCTCATGTATTGATCAGCCGAAGACTTGCTGTTGATATCCTGGGGGTGCCGAAGGGGAGCCCCTCAATCCGGGGATCGAGGGCCTGCCGGATGAGGGCAGTAATTTAACTGTCGCCGGGGGGTCCACTGTTTGTTGATGAGTTGGTGATGAAGATACCCGAGGGCTCCCATTACCTGTGTGCCACGGGTTATCCGTCAATGAGGTAACTCCCCGGGGGCTACCCGGTTTTGCAGCGCTGAGGGGGAATCCCCGAAGGGTGCCCTGATATGAAGCCCTGGGTTTCTGAGGGAGTGATCCCGAAGGCGTCTGTTATGTGCTGTGTGGGACACACCCCGGGGGCACTTCTGAGTGAGTGCACCCGGAGGCTATCCTTGATGAAGTGGAGTGGAGTAGAAAACCCGGGGGCTTCCAGAATATAGCCTTTGGAAATATAGTCGTTGGAATATGTAACGACGGGATATAGCCGTTGGGGGGGTGGCACACGTGGCGTGTGATGGCTGGCTGTTCGCGGGCGGCGTCACCGGTTGGGTGAAACGACGGTGTGTAATGATGACGGTCCGTCCGGAGGCCCGGTTTCCGGGCCCAAGCCCGGATTCCAGCGCCTATAAATACCCCAAGGCCAGAGCCATTCCCGCTGTGCGAACTCAGTTGTCTTAGCGAAGCTCTGCCAAAAAATCTAGTGAGAGAAACTCAAGCCTTCGGTCCTAACTCAGCTTTCGAGGTCAGTGCTCCCTGCCTTTCTCCTTCTAGTATAGCTGTACATTGCGCCCTCGGGTTAGGAGATAGAATTCACTAGAAACCTTAGTTCCCCCGAACCCTCGAGCTAGAGTTAGAATGTCGTCCCAGAGTGACTCTCAGGACATCTCGAGGACGCCCTCGATGGAGGACGAAGGCATCTCCGACGTGGAGTCCAGCATCGGCCAACCCTCGGGTGGTGCTGATGCCGTCCTGGCCCGGGAGGTCCAGAAGGAACTCATTGCGGAGGTCGAAGCCGAGGGCTTCGAGCAGGAGTGCGAGGATGAAGACTTAGCCCTCGCATGGCAAACAGCGAGGATGAGGCGCAGAACGAGAGCTCGAAGGTTACGATTGCTGTTCTCCCCCCTAGGGGTTCCGGGGATGCCAGTAGCTCGAGGCCGCTGGATCCGATACCTCTGAGGGCGGTTTCCGGTTTGAAGAAGAAGAAGGCCGCTACCAAGAAGAAGGAGAGGGCCGTCGATCAAGGAAAGCCCGTGGACATGCCCGAGGGGTACAGTTGGCTGAACACTGAGGCCCTCGAGATCAGGTCGAAGGCTGATAGGGCAGATCTGTACGTGACTCAGCTGCACGTGGGGCCCTCGGCCGGAGTGGTGGAGCCAGGTCCCGACGACGTGCTGTCCAGGGCGCCCGAGGGGTGTATCGCTATTCACGTCCTCTCGGTTTCCATGGGACTTAGGTTCCCTCTGCACCCGTTCCTCCGGGAGTATTTGAGGTTTGTTGGTTTGGTCTCCTGCCAACTCACGCCCAACAGCCACTCCTACATTGCGGGGTTCCTCCAGCTCTGCAAGTCCCGAGGGGTGAAGCCCAGCCTGGATCTATTCTTCCAGAGTTTTAATTTGTGCCGGGGGGGGGGGGGGGCACGAAAACGGCGAGGGGTACGCAAACCTGCAGCAGATTGCCCGCTTCAAGCTATTCTCCGATGCTCCTTCTTCCAACAAAGGATGGAGGGAACGTTGGTGCTACGTAAAGTTGGGTGAGAGCCCATTCCCGAGGGAGCTGCGTGATCGATTTCGAAGGCACGAAAAAATCAGGAGTGCTGCTCTCGAGAAAGACGGCCTAAAGCTGGCCAAGTTCCCGGAGGGGAAAAATAAGAACGTGGCGATCAAAGACTGCACCCTCGAGGAGGATTTATACACCCTCGGGTTCCGGAGGTACCGCTTCATAGGGGAGACCGATGAGAAGTACCCTCCCTTCGACAAGGCCTTCGGAGGAGCCGGAGGTAGGAGCCGAGGGCTTTAGAATTCTGTACCTAGTTTTATTTTTGTTTGGATGTCATTGTCCCTTCGATTAGACCCGTCGGACTGACCCTTTGTCTCCTTTTTGCAGGTATCCCCGTCTCCATGGTGAACGTGAAGGGCCTTGCTCGCCTGAAGAAACAGGACCCGAAGGGGTCGGGACAGGGCAGCCAGAAGCCCGCCACTGCCCTCTTCAAGAAAGCCGAGGGCGATGCTGCTGCCGGCAAGAGGAAGGCGACGACCAAGGGGTCCCCCCCGGGTACCAAAAAGCCGAAGAAGGGGGATGTCGCCGAGAAGGAGCCCCCGGTCATTATTGCTGATGAGCACCCCGCCTCCGAGGTGCATGTGGAGAAGCCGTCGGGTGAAACGCCGGCGGGGGCAGAGGAGTTGCTGCCTGAGGTCCTCCAAGTTTCGTTCCCGAGGGGGACATCCCTGGCCAGCGGCGCTGTCGACCCGAGGGCCATCTTGAGGGGCATAACCCCTGAGACTGATAGGGCTGCCCTCGGGGCCTATAACGATGCGGCCCTCGAGGACCACACTCTCCGCTCCTCCCTTTCTGTAAGTGTTTACTCAGCTTTCTTCCTTTTCTCCTTTGATTATATTGTGCAATTGCCTTTAACCGTTTGGATGTTGGTCCGCAGGCTTGTCTAGCCCTCGGTGAACATGCCCGGAGGCTTCAAGAATGGCCCCTCCATAAAGCAGAGCAGGATGCCAAGATGAAGGAATGCATCCTCAAAAACAAGGAGGCGGTGAAGCTGGGGGCCAGACTGGAAGAGGAGCTTCGGCAAATGGAGCTGAGATTGGGGGCTGCAGAGAAGGGCAAGGCCGATGCTGAGGCTGCTGCTGAGGAAGCCAGGAGAGCTGCCAAAGAGGCCGAGGACTCCAAGGCGCTAGCCGTCGCCAAGGCTCGGGAGGAAGCCGTGGATGCCTTCGTCGCCGAGGGCTGGAGAGCCGAGGGACGCAAGATGTGGTTGTCCTCGGTCGTGGAGGCACACGTCGAGGAATGGGCCGAGGGCCCCGGGTGGGAGTGGATGGCCCGGAAGGGCAGGGAATATTATGAGGCCGGCGAATTCTTCACCCAGGCCCTCATTTACCGGAGGATGGCTCGACATTTGGGCATTGAGCAAAAAGATTTCTCCCCCTTGGCGTATGGCCTTCCTCCCCTGCAGCCTGATGTCCGTGAGTCGCTCCCGGAAGGTGTTCAGAGGCCCGACCTTGAGGACACGGAGTTGAAGAATGAGGCCGAGGACGACGCTGTCGAGACCGGAGCGGAGGCATCATCGAGGCCGGCTGCAGAGGGCACCCCGGTGAATGATGCTGTTGTAGTTGTAGAGTGACTTTGTACTTAGAAATCCTTGAACATATTTTGTAATGAACAACATTGATCCTTCGGCTTCGGCCTGTTTGTAAATTTCACACTTACTTTGTTTGTGATGAATGCATGCTGACCCCGGGCTCTTTACATTTGAATGCGCCTTACGTTTTGAATGTATGCCTTCTACTTCTTGAGTGTATGCCTTCGGTATTTTTGAATGTATGTGTAGGACTTAGAATATTTTTCGATTGTAGCGTGCCCTTGGAAGCCTTCGGTACTTGGGCACCCTCTGCTGGGTATGCAACCGAGGGTTCAGCAGCAGTTAGGACTTAGAAATTTTTTCTAAGTGTAGCACACCATAGGGCCTTCGGGCGTTTGTAGTAACCCGAATCCTAGGACTTAGAAAAATTTCTAAGTGTAGATATCCCCTTGCGAGCCTTCGGGATATGGAATCCCTTCCTGATGCGTGAATGTTGGACCGAGGGCCCAATGCACAGGACTTAGAGATTTTTTATTGCAAGTGTAGTATGCCATGTAGCCTTCGGCTACTGTGGAGCCCCAACTGAAATATTGAATAGGCCGGGGGCCAATTCTTTAGGACTTAGAAAATTTTCTTGAGTGTTGATTCCTTGTGTACTGTAGCCCTCGATTGATAGGTAGCCTTCGGCAATTAGGTCCTTTGAGATGAGGGTGAAATATGTAGGACTCAGAAAATCTTCTAAGTGTAGAGTTTCCCTTGGGAGCCTTCGGGAGGTGGCATCCCTCCATGAGGTATGAGTAGCTGACCGGGGGGGAAAATATGCAGGACTTAGAAAATATTCTAAGTGTAAAATCTCCCTTGGGAGCCTTCGGGAGATGGCATCTGTAATACCCGAGATTAATATAAGAGGATTAATAGTACTACTCATACCAACAGAGGTGCATCTCCTTTTAAGGGAGCTCATCACCCAAGAACTCCAAAGTTAAGCGTGCTTGCACGGGAGTAGTCTTGGGATGGGTGACCCCCTGGGAAGTTTCTCAGGGCGCGCATGAGTGAGGACAAAGTGCGCGGTAAAGGCTCGTGGTGGTTTGTGGGGACAGTACTAGAGGTCTAGAGTAACTACCTCGGGTCCGTGTGGGGCCCGGGGTGTTACAGGTGGTATCAGAGCAACCCTGCGACAATGTACAGACCCGTTAGATATCGGGCAGGCATTTAGCGGGGCAAGATTCTGGGGTTTGATTGAGATTGTTAAGGACGCAACGAGGACATTGCGATCCTAAGTGGGGGTGATTGTAATACCCGAGATTAATATAAGAGGATTAATAGTACTACTCATACCAACAGAGGTGCATCTCCTTTTAAGGGAACTCATCACCCAAGAACTCCAAAGTTAAGCGTGTTTGCACGGGAGTAGTCTTGGGATGGGTGACCCCCTGGGAAGTTTCTCAGGGCGCGCATGAGTGAGGACAAAGTGCGCGGTAAAGGCTCGTGGTGGTTTGTGGGGACAGTACTAGAGGTCTAGAGTAACTATCTCGGGTCCGTGTGGGGCCCGGGGTGTTACAGCATCCCTCCTTGATGGGACTTAGAAAATCTTCTAAGTGTAAAATCTCCCTTGGGAGCCTTCGGGTGATAGGTACCCTCTGATTCCACATCACTTTGCGAGATGCCCGGGGGCTACTCATTTAGGACAGAATACCTTTTTTTTAAGTGTTGTTGTATTGCATGGCCTTCGGCCACCATATTCCCTTGGCTGTAATATTGATTGGGCCAGGGGCCCAATCTTTAGGACTTAGAATTTTTTCAAGTGTTGCTTCCCTGTGTAGCCTTCGGGTGATAGGTGCCTTCTGACTCTACATTACTTTGCGAGATGCCCGGGGGCTGCTCCTTCAGGATTTAGAATTTTTCCTAAGCATAAATTGATGTTGAATCCTGTTGTTGTGAAGAAAGCCAATGAGGAGTGTGTGCCCTCGGCATACACTTTAAAAGTTGTAGGATTTGACCCTTGTCATGGGGAAAGGGCCCTCGGTATTTGTGCATAACAGATGCCTTCGGTGTTTGTTTGAAGTACCGTTTAGTGGACCTTGGATAGTCCAGTCCCTTTGTATTGTTGAAGCCTTCGGTGTTTTTGTGACCGGAGGTGACCAGGTAGTGGACTTAGCCGTTTCCTGATGATATTTCTATGAGTAGTATCCTCCGGGAGATAGGAGTCTTCAATTACCGGAGGTGTTCCCGTGGGGAGCCCTCGGCATGTTGTGATCTTGTTGGAGTGTACTCTTTGATTTCTCGCTGAGTCTACTCCCCTTCACCCCCCTTTTTTTTTTTGGTTGGTGGTGAAGGGAAGGCATCAAGAAACTTGGTTTCTTGGTAAGGCTGGGCCTATTAGGAGACCATCAGAATACACCAATGGCTCTCCTCCCTCGGGTTAACCTTCCGAGTTCCGAGGGGATCGAGGGACGTTTCCTGGGCACAAGATATGGTGGTCCGTAACCTGCCTCCCCTTGGGGGATGGCGCGGAAAGCGCCTCATTTTTGAAAGTCGTCCCCTCGGCGCTAGACATAGTCCGTGGCCTGCCATACCCTTGGGGTGGTGGCGCGGGGAGCGTTTCGGTTTGGAAGTCGAATCCTGGGCATTTCTCATGCCTGTCATACCCTGGGGGTAGTGACGCGGATAGCGTTCCGTTTTTGAAAGTCGAATCCTGGGCATTTCTCATGCCTGTCATACCCTGGGGGTAGTGACGCGGAAAGCGTTTCAAGGAAGGGTTTTCGTTTGCACACTAGTTGCAAATGGCCGGGGGCACTACGTGCCGCCGTCACCGATGGTGGCGCCTTCGGTATATGCGTCCTCGTGGGGTACGGCTTTTAGAAACAACACTTGGTGTTAGTTTCGATGTGTAGCCCCCGGTACTTGGTACCGAGGGGTCCTCTGTAGGAACACTTGGTGTTCTCTTTGTTGTAGTCGATGGAGGTGTCTACCCTCGGTACCTGGTACCGAAGGGTCTTCAAATGAAACACTTGGTGTTTCCCAACAGATGTTTGGAAGTTGATAGGAGAGCATATCCCTGGCACTGGGTGCCGAGGGGTCTTCTTTGAAACATTTGGTGTTTTTTCTTCGTTTCGATGTTTGATGATGGAGGTGTGCCTCGACACTGGGTACCGAAGGGTCTTCTGTAGGAACACTTGGTGTTCTCATCTTTTCTTTTTTGATGTTGAAGGTGAGAATGTACCCTTGGCACTGGGTGCCGAAGGGAAATGAAACACATGGCGTTCCTTGTTGTTGGTGATAGGAGTTTCCTCCCTCGGCACTGGGTGCCGAGGGGTCTTGACTGAAAACACGTGGTGTTTTCGCTTTTTGTTGTAGGTGTTGATGGTGTCCGCCCTCGGCACTTGGTGCCGGAGGGGGTTCTTCTCGTGGTGAGGCCTGTGGCCTGTGGTCAGTATGAGGGCTTGATGTCTTGAATGTATCTTCATTCTTCGAAATTGGAGGCCTTGGGCCAAAGGATAGTACATTCACTAGTTATGAGGGCTTGGCCGCTCTTACATTATTGATAAAATTTAACTAAATGGTGTACATTCCAGTGCCTAGGGACTTCTTTCCCATTGGGGCGTTTGAGCTTGTAGGTCCCGGGTTTGATGATGGCTGCTATGATGTAGGGGCCTTCGAATTTTGGTGCCATTTTTCTTCCCTCGGTTGCTTGGCTGGCTTCCCTCCTCCGGAGGACATAGTCCCCCACTTGAAATTCTCGGGTGCGAACTTTGGAGTCGATGTAGCTTTTAACTTGCCTTCGGTAGTTTTTTGCCCGGATGAAGGCCTGCTCCCGGCGTTCTGAAATGAGGTGGAGGTCGAGGGCCATGTTGCTGTCGTTGACCTCGAGGTCATATTGGATCACCCTTCGGGTGGGAAGGGTGACTTCCGTAGGAGCTTTGGCTTCAAAACCGTAGCAGAGGGAGAAGGGTGTTTCACCTGTTGCTCGCCGAGGGGTGGTGCGATAGGCCCAAAGGATGTTGTGGAGTTCTTCCACCCAGCCACCACCCTCGGCCTCCAGCTTCTTTTTGAGGCCCTCGAGCAAGGTTCGGTTGGCGTTCTCTACTTGCCCGTTGCCTTGGGGGTAGGCAACGGAGGAGAAGGTGTGTTTGATACCCCATGCCTCCAGAAGGGCACAGAAGGGGGCTGCCTCAAATTGTGTCCCATTGTCGGAGATGATCTGCTGGGGGACGCCAAACCTTGTGAGGATGTTCTTGAGGACGAAGTGATGGCACTTCGCCTCTGTGATGCTGGCGAGGGGTTCAGCCTCCACCCACTTGGTAAAATAGTCGACGGCCACAATGATGTATCTGTTGTTGGAGGTACCCCTCGGCAGGGGGCCCACAAGGTCTATCCCCCATCGAGAAAATGGGACAGAGGTGCTGATGGGGGCATAGTTGACCGCTGGCCTGCCGGGAGCTTTCTGAAAATGTTGACATGCGGTGCACCTCCGGGCAAGGTCTGCACAATCCCTGGCCATGGTTGGCCAGAAGTAGCTCTGGAGAATGAGCCTTCGGGACATGGAGAAGGGTCCTTGGTGAGCTGAGCAAGTGCCACTGTGCACTTCCTCCATTGCGACCTCGGCTTCATCTGGATGAAGTCACCGAAGTAGCGTGCCATTGTAAGATCGTTTGTAGAGCCTTCCATCTTCGATGGTGTAGCTGGGAGCCCTCAGCTTTGCCAGTTTAGCGCGGGCCTCATTCTCGGGTAGCTGCCCTGTGGAGATGAAGGCGGTGATATCTGAGATCCAATCCTCCTGACGTTGTTGTATGTTCATAACGGGGCTTGCATGGATGCTTGAGAGGCTGAGTTCCTCGATTTTGGCAATTTTGGAGATGTGCTCGGGGGAGTCGGCCGATAGCTTAGATAATATGTCGGCCTCGGAGTTCTGAGCCCTCGGTATTTGAGTGAGAGAGTGTGCCTCAAATACCTTAAGCAACTCCTTGGCCGCTTCCTTGTACTGTTTCATCCTCCCCTCCTTGGCCTCATATTCTTCGGAGATTTGGCCAACGACCAGCTTGGAGTCGCATTTGATGTGGATCTGCCGAGCCCTCATGTTGGCAGCCAGCCGAAGGCCACATAGGAGGGCCTCATATTCGGCCTCATTGTTGGAGACCTTGAAGGAGAAGCGGATTGCATAGTAGGCCCTGAAGCCCTCGGGAGTAATGAGGACTACCCCTCCCCCGCATGCTTTGGTCGCGGAGGAGCCATCAGTGTAGAGGGTCCACCAGTCGTCCGAGGTAGCCGAGGGCTCCCCGTCCGTGGCTGCCCTTGCGGTACATTCCGTCACAAAGTCCGCCAGGGCTTGGCCCTTGATGGCAGTCCTTGGACGGATGTCAATGTTGTACTGGCTCAAGAAGATAGCCCATTTCACCATGCGGGAGGAGCTGGTGGGGCTCCTCATGAGGGCGCCGAGGGGTTGATGGGTGAGGACCTGAACCGGGTGAGCCTGAAAGTAATGGCCCAACTTCTTGACAGTCCAAACGATGGCTAACACCGTTTTTTCCACAGGGGAGTACCTGAGCTCGGCCTCCCTTAGGGTCTTGCTAACGTAGAAGATGGCATGTTGGATGCCGTCTTCTTCCCGGATGAGCACAGAGCTGATGGCCGCCGGGCTAACCCCAAGGTAGAGGTAGAGGGTCTCCCCTACCTTGGGTTTGGAGAGCACAGGAGGTGAAGATAGATATCGTTTGAGCTCGTCGAAAGCCTCCTGGCATTCCGGAGTCTATAGAAAGCCAGCCGTCTTCCTCATGATCTGGAAGAAGGGTAGAGATTTCTCCGCCGATTTAGATAGAAAGCGGTTGAGGGCTTCCAGGCGGCCCGTCAACCGTTGGACTTCCTTCACATTGCGTGGGGGCTCCATATTGATGATGGCCTGGATCTTCTCGGGGTTGGCCTCAATACCCCTTCGGCTCACCATATAGCCTAAGAATTTGCCCCCTTGGACGCCGAAGGTGCACTTCTTCGGGTTTAGCCGAAGGTTGAACTTCTGCATGATGGCGAAGATTTCCCGGAGGTCGTCAGCATGGCTGGAAGATTGTTTGCTTTTGACGATCATGTCGTCAACATAGGCCTCCATGGTGCGCCCTAGGACGGCTTGAAAGACCCGGGCCACCATCCGGGTGTAGGTGGCCCCTGAGTTCTTCAGGCCGAAGGCCATGACTAGGTAGCAGAAGATGCCCTCGGGAGTCATGAAGGCAGTTTTTTCGGCGTCCTCCTCGTGCATGAATATTTGATGGTACCCTCGGAAGACATCGAGGAAAGACATGATTTCACACCCCGCGGTCTCATCCACCAATTGATCAATGTTTGGTAGAGGGAAGGGATCCATGGGGCATGCCTTGTTGAGATCGGTGTAGTCCACGCACATGCGAAAGGTAGGGGGCTTCTGTGCGAGGACTACGTTTGCTAGCCATGAGGGGTATTTTACCTCCTTGATGTGTTTAATTGATAGGAGCATGGCGACCTCCTTCTTCACGAATTCCCTCCTCTCGGCGGAGAGGGGTCTCCTTCGTTGCTGTACTGCTTTTGCCGAAGGGTCCACCGAGAGGCGGTGGGTGATGACCCTACGACTGATTCCCGGCATGTCCTCCGGCCCCCAGGCAAAGACAGTGGAGTAGGCGCGGAGGGCGTCGGTGATACCGGTCTTCAAATCTTCAGGGAGCTGGGCTCCAATCTTCACGACTCTCTCCGGCTAGGCCGGATCGAGCGCGAAGTCTTCTACGTCCTCGGCCGGTTCAGCCCTCGGCCTCCTTTCCTCTTGGTCGACGGCTCCGGTGATGGTGTCAACACGGAATTCCGTCTTTCTTACCTTCTTAGTGACCTGAAGATAGCAGGCGCGGGCAATTTTTTTGTTCCCCCGGGAGTAGCCAATGCCCCCCTCGGCGGGAAACTTGAGGCAGAGGTGCCTCATGGAGATGATGGCTTCGAGGTCCTCGAGGGCTGGCCGGCCGAGGATAATGTTGTGGGCGCAGTCAATGTTGACGACGACGAACTCCAATTCGAGCTGGGCTCTATGGAGCCCGTCGCCGAAGATCACCGGGAGGGTTATTACCCCCTCGGAATCAACAGTATCGCCGGTGAAGCCGGCAAGAGGGGTCTTAATGGGCCGAAGGGACCCCCTCTCCAGATGCAGCTCTCTGAAGGTGCTGAGGTACATTACATTGACGGAGCTGCCCGTGTCAATGTAAGTTCGGTGAATAATGGTGTCGTTTATCTCCGTCCGAATCACTAAGGCATCCCTGTGAGGAGAAGAAGTAGGAGGGAGATCCGCGTTGGTGAAGGTGATGGGTTCCTCCCTCAGTCGCTTTACCGGAGGCATATGAGTGACTTCCCCCACGTAAAGCGATTGAGCCCACTTCTTTCGTTGGCTGGTGGAATCGCCCCCTGTATTGCCACCGGTGATCATGAGGATGTGGCGTTTTTTCTCCTGGTAGTGGGGGTATTCCTCCTCCTCTTCTTCCAAGTTTCCAATCTCCCTCTTCTTGCCGAGGGGGATGGTGTTCGGATTCACCCAGGCATTTACCTTCGTATGGTGCCCTCGGGGAGGTCCCTGATGAGAAGGTCCCTCCTGCCGAGGGCTCTGGACAAACTGGGACAGGTGCCCCGCCTGTATTAATCTCGATGGCCGTCTTCAGCTGATGGCAGTCATCGGTCCTGTGCCCCTGGTGCCGATGGAAGCGACAGTAGGGGAACTGAGGGTTGATAGCGTGTACCTCCGGGGGTGCGCGAGAGTCGCGCTCAACGAGGCCCCTCTCCTCGGCAAAATCGAGGATGATGCTGACGGGGTGCGTCAATGGTGTCCGAGGGCGGTCCAGGAGAATGGGCTGGGCCCAAGTCTTAGGGTTGCTCTTATAACCTCCCCCGGGCTTGGCTTGGCCTTGCCGAGGGCGGTCATCAGAGGGTGCCGAAGCCTTGGGGCGATTTGGAGGAGCCCCCGCCCCTCGGTTATGCTTGTTGTCAGCCCTCGGGGGCTGCTGGTCCGGGTGCTGGTGATACTTCTCCACCTCCTCGGCCTCAGCATATCGGTCCCCCCGCTGCAAAGCCCTTATGTAGTCGCGGGGGGTTCAATGATGAGGCTCCTTGAAAAGTTACCGGTGCGGAGGACGGTTTGTAGGAGGGCCAGGAGGGTCCCGTCATCAGCACCGTCGACCTTGTCGGCCTCCGTCCTCCAGCGCTCCAGGAAATCCCGAAGGGTCTCATCCTTCTTCTGGCGTATTGTTAGCAGGTGGGAGAAGTGCTTCCTTGTGCGACGCCTCCCGGCGAATTATGTCAAGAACCGCTGGGCGAGTTCTTGCCATGAATCAATACGGCCCTCGGGCAGCCTGTTGAACCATTCGTATGCCGGCCCCTCTAAGGTGGAGAGGAACCAACGACACAAATATTCGTCCGACGCCCCCACCATCATCATGCTGTTCTGGTACTTGCTGTAATGTTCCTGGGGGTCCGTTTTTCCGTTGTAGGGCTGTATATGCTGCCCTCGGTATTTTTCCGGGATCCGGGCCGCCAATACCCTTGGAGTAAATGGCGTCCGAGTCCGGAGCTGGATGACGGGTTCCCCGGAGCCCTCGGCCACCTTCTTCTGTAACTCCTCCATTTTGGCCATCATGGCCTCGTATTTGAGATCTGAATGAGGGGTGGAGGTGGTGGCGTGAACTTTGTTGGACTCCATCTCGTCAAGCCGGCGTTGGTGGGCCGCAATAATCTCGTCCCGGGGATCCTTCGGGAGGGTCTCCGCCCCCTGCGAACGAACTCGGGCCGAGTGGGCCTGGTTGATTTGGTGTCGAGCATCATCGGCATGAAGGGGTGCCTTGCCTTTGTCCCGAGGGGGACGCTCCTCGTCTGCCCTCGAAACAGATCCCCCGCTTTCCTGGGGCCTTTGGAGTGCTTTCCCCCCGAGGCGGTCTTGGACCCCTCGGCGGTCTGGCCCTCCTCCGAGCCGGTTGAGGGCGGAAGTACGGGGCCTTTCCCTGTTGTCATTGTGGCGGTCCCGGGACTGAACTTCCTGGGAGGACGTATCTTGGGCCACCACCCCCTCGTCGTTCCTCACCCGAGGGGTGGGATTTCCGAAGGGGTGTGGCAGAGGGGGAAGTATGATGTTTTCCCCAACCTGAGGGTGAGCTGGAGCCAGGGTGCCGAAGGCACCCGGGTTCTGGGTGAGCGTCTGGATGAAGGCGGAGAGCGCCGATTGCACGTCGATGGTGAGAACCGGAGGGCTGACTTGGTCATCGCTCCGGTTTTTCTTCTTCGCCTCGATGCCGAGGCGGGCATCGGGGGCATTTTGTTGGATCTGAAGGCGTAGGTCGACAGCCGCCTGTTCCAGCCCAGCGATGACACCGCCCTCGGGAGCCCTGTGAGAGGTTTCGGGGGCGTTGACGTCGCCGAGGGCCAGGTTCTTGTCTTCTACGTTCTTTGAGTTGGCACGTGTTGTCCTCACCATTTTGATAGAGGGCTAGTGTTTCGTGTTTGGTCGAGGGGGAGGGTTTCTTACTCGATTGTTCAACCTCTCAACGAGAGCACCAAATGATGGATAGTCTACCCGGGGGTATATATCCGAAAGGTTATCACGGGGAGTAACTTAGAGAGAAGTAAGAGCAAGTAAGTAAAAGTAGAGAGAGAGTGTATTCAGTATGAATGCCGTTTTCAGCGTGGTTACCAATGGGGAAATGGGGTGCTATTTATAGTAGCAATAAATGCCGGACAGGGACACGTGTCAAGCGCTCATTGGCCGAGGGGTCACCTCAACTGGTTGGCGCTGGCAGCCGCATGTGGCCGCATTTAATGCGGCTGTTGGATGGGACGTCTATGCGGGGCACGGTGATCTGTGCGCATGTGAGGCGGATATCTTGTCGAGTGAGATGTCTTCGGCTATAGAGCAGTAGCCGGGGGCTCTTCCACCCGATGGCACCCTGGTGCCGAGGGCTCACAATGCCGAGGGCTACTGTTTTCGCCGTTTTCTCCCAGTTTCTTAATTTGCTTGAGAAACCCGTTCTTTGAGAATTTGGAGCCTTCGGCCAGGGGGCCGAAGGCACCCCTGGCGCGTAGTGCGGACTGCTTGGTACTCTGGGCGCTGTGATTTGCGCCTGTTGGGCCTGTTGGGCCTTCGCTGGAGTAGTAGGAGTCTGTGGGCCGGGGGTTCCCGGGCCATATACTCCATCATCCCTTCATGGGTCTTTCACCAATGGAGAATATCGAAGTCCCCCGCTTCTTTATACTTAACAGGAAACGTTAGATATAAAGAAAGCTCGTTAATCGAGCTTTGTGCAACAGCAGAAGTTGTTTTACTTTTTTTTTCAAAAGAGTAGATTAGGGGTGGATTCGGGCCGGGTCGGGCCTAGGCCCGAGCGGGCCGGCGGTTCTGGATAGGTGGACTCAGGACCGGTCTGGGTAGCCACCGGGTCTGGTCCGGGTCCGGTCCGGGTCTCAGGATTGGTTAATTTTTTTTTTTGCTTACCTACCTATCCTTGACCCCCCCTCACCCCCAAACCCCAAAACCCCTCCTAAACATCAAGCCCAACCCGGGTGAAGCCCAAACAAATGAAAGAAAACAAAACTTTCAAAAAGTTTGAGATTGTTACTTTCAAAATAATAATTGAAGTATGACATGTGAAACAATGAAAGTGCTAAGGATAAAACACTTTGTCTTGCACTCATACAACTAAACACTTTGCTTGGGTTCCAGATATTTGTTTTGTTTATTTAGCTTTTTTCTTATTTCGTCGTCCTCCTATTAGTTTTTTTTTTTTTTATCATTTGGTTTCTTGTTACTGTCTATGTTGTTAGCTTTGTCATTTTGTTTGGGAATTTAGTCTCTTTTTATGTCATTGGGTATGTTTGGATCTATGGGAACAGAGATGATTGTGTCAAACCCACTGCATGGTTAGCGATTTGTGTTGCTCTTTCAGGGGTGACCGTCTCTAAATTTGATTAAATGGTTTACAGTCGTAATTGTTGGAGTTTAGTTGGTATCAGATTTATTTTTCCTTTGGTTGATTTAATGATCCTGAAACTTATGATATGAATAGAAACAAATTTCCCCCAAGCATCTTCCCTTGCCTCTCCTCCTTTCTAGGATTCGATCTCTTCCTTAGATGTTCACATCTATGACAGTGCGAGCGCTTCTTGGAGGCTCAATCCTACTCAGTGTTCTCCAGATTTTATCTCTTCGATGGACTTTGACCTTGGTGCTCGCTGGCATGAATCTGATGGTCATGAGGTGTATCTTCAGCAATATTTGAATAATTGGCAATTGTAGAAGTTGGCGTTTCACTGCCACCGCATCCCTTCATCACCGGTTATTGAGGTACATCTTCAATAAGCTTTGAATAATCGTCAATTTTTAGGAGGTTGACTGCTCACTGCCATCGTATCCCTTCATCATCTTTTATTTTCACCTGCGACCCTTTTAATTCATTCGAAAATAAGTTTGAGTCAAATTTGCAATCGATTATAGGAAGTCAGTTTATTGAAAATTATTTTGTATTCGAAAAATGTTGTTCGAAGAAGCAAAAGGAGCATGTGAAATTAGTTGTATACTTGTATTATTTTGCCTTGTTCACGATTCCTAACTACAATGGTAGTATTTAACTAGAAATGCCTTCCAAATTATCCAAAATCCACCGACTGCACATATGAATTTTGAGCATGAAAGTAAAAAAAAAACTTACTATCTAAGGATTCCAAGGAAGTAAGCTATGCTAATTCTCATGAATGTTCAAAAAATAATTTGTGTCTTCTCGATCTTGCTTCAGTTCATTGCCGGACTTTATATACTGTCATTTCATGATTCACTTAACCAAATTATAGCTCGTTTGGGGGTAAAATTGGCTAAAGTTGTGGCTGTAATTGTTGAGTAGAATGAAATATCAAGAATGGTCATCTCTGGAATGTCAAAATATATGGGAAACTACTTCTAGTGTCTTCAATATTTTAGATGTGGGAAAGCTCACTAAGGTTAGGTATAACACATATGTTTTGAATATATTACAATACTGTTGTGGCCTGTGGGTTTTACTCTCAGTCTTCTCATATGGTTTGTATATATCATACTATCTTTGGAAGTGCAGATAGGTTCTTCCTTGCATTTGTTCATCAAGTAGCTATAACTCCTTTATGCTTTATGCCTTTATGAAATACAGAAATATTAAACTCCTAAAATGACAATAGGAGTATATAATATATTAATTATCCGTTTTAATTTCTTGTCTATTGTCGCTTCCTTATGTTTCTAGTTTTAGCTTGTTGATGTGTTAACTTTGTCACATCAGTTTAAGTTTTAAACCATTTCACTTTCTCCTCTGTGTGGGATGCGGTAGAGTGCAAACTTTTTTTTATTGTTATTGTTACTAATTCTGATATATAGGAAGTTGAAGAGATTTTGGAACTTTTCAATTCAAGTCTATATGGCATGGTTTGGACATCACAGAGATAGTTCATTACATTTGCTATGCATAGGTGCTTTTCTGTCAGATAATTAAATGTAACAAAGGTTCATTAGTTGCACTTGTATAAACTTCATTGAGTGGCAACTTCTTTCAATTCTTTTGCATTATTTATTAATTATTACTCCTCAGTCCCAATTTGTAAGATACATTTCATATTCACTTGGTCAACATAAATCACTCTTAATCTTTTACTTTATATATCAAAATTCTGTGAGATTTTAATTATTTTTGCAAGCTTTGTAGCGGTTTTAATGTAGTTTCTGAATATGTAAATTTTATTTTTTAAAACTAATGTGAGTGTTGACAGGGATCAATTTGTTTTATCGTCGGTCAAACATCGTAAACCGTAAAATGTCTTTCAAATTGGGACGGAGGGAGTAATAAATTCATTTTGATATGCATATGTAACAATAATGTCAATTATATAGGTGTATTGGTTCCTTCTAATAATTTATTCGGATTTGTGTCGTAGTGATTGCACTTCCATTGTAGGCACATAATAAAAAAGAAGTACCTTAAGATGCAAGACTCGGGAGATTGACAAGAGAAATGGAGACAAAAGAGACAAACTGCAACATAAAAGGAATAAGAAGCAAGAAGAACCAAACCAATAGATATAATATATAAATGTAATAACTTGTAATAAGAGATTAAATTATATATGTGCTAAGATATTTTTACATGTTGTTTTCGTCGCTCTTTGTTTCATTGAATGTATTACTTTTTGTTGCATCGTGTTGCTTCTTGTTGCATCGGGTTGCTTTTTGTTGCATTGTGTTACTTTTTTGTTGCATCATTTTGCTTTTTATTGTATCTGTTGCTTTTTGTTAAAGCATGTTGCATATTGGTTTTGATTTTTTCATCTATTTAGATTTATATTTATATTCCTTACTTATTTGGAATAAAAAATCACACGCACACAAACACCTAAAATGGTAAATTTGAGGTTATGAATAAACAAAAAGAAACACGAAGAAACAATAAAAAATACTTCCTCCGTCCCGTAATTAAGTTACCACTTTCCTTTTTGGAAAGTCCCTAAATTAAGTTCACACTTCCTTACTTTCTTTATTTGGCAAATTATCTACATCAAAACAGTGCAAAACAGTGTCAAACAGTGTTTGAACAGTGCGAAACAGTGCACTCCACTGTAAAGTCAAATTTATTTTCTTAATATGTGTGAAGTCAAATCGGGAACTTAATTGGGGGACGGAGGGAGTACAAAAAAACAATGTGTGATAAAAGTAACAATAATTCAATGATAATAATAATAATAATATATAAAATGTATAAATTCATAATTGCAAGTTTTTCAATTTTTCAATTTTTCATTTTCGTTATTTTATTTTTTTCACCTTTTCTTTTTTTATTTTCAATATTTAAAAACTTTTTAATTCACTGTTTTTAATTCTAAGAACCTTGTTTAAATTTTGATTTGATTTTTTTTATTGTTTTAAATTCTCATATATTTATTTTTGAGTCTTTTCAAACGTTTTCAAACTGCAACATAAAAGGAATAAGAAGCAAGAAGAACCAAACCAATAGATATAATAGATAAATGTAAAAACTTGTAATAAGAGATTAAATTATATATGTGTTGAGATATTTTTACATGTTGTTTTCATTGCTCTTTGTTGCATTGAATGTATTACTTTTTGTTGCATCTTGTTGTTTTTTGTTGCATCGTGTTGTTTCTTGTTACATCGTGTTGCTTCTTGTTGCATCGTGTTGTTTTTTGTTGCATCGTATTACTTTTTTGTTGCATCATGTTGTTTTTTATTGTATCTGTTGCTTTTTGTTAAAGCATGTTGCATATTGGTTTTGTTTTTTTCGTCTATTTAGACTTATATTTATATTCCTTACTTATTTGGAATAAAAAATCACACGCACACAAACACCTAAAATGGTAAATTTGATGTTATGAATAAACAAAAAGAAACACGAAGAAACAATAAAAAATACTTCGTACAAAAAAACAATGTGTGATAAAAGTAACAATTCAATAATAATAATAATAATAATATAAAATGTATAAATTCATAATTGCAAGTTTTTCAATTTTTCAATTTTTCATTTTCGTTATTTTATTTTTTTCACCTTTTTTTTAATTTTCAATATTTAAAAACTTTTTAATTTACTGTTTTTAATTCTAAGAACCTTGTTTAAATTTTGATTTGATTTTTTTATTGTTTTAAATTCTCATATATTTATTTTCGAGTCTTTTAGAACGTTTTCAAATAACAGTTTACATATTCTTTTATGTTTGCTCGATTTTTTAAAATTTTCAGGATTTGTTATGTTAATTTTCACAATCTTAATATAGAAATTGTACATTTATTATTTTTCTAAATTACATTAAATTTTTTAAATCTTGTGTATTTTTCTGAAAATTTATAGAATGTTTTGTTGCCTTTCTTTATTTTATAATTTTCTTTATTTTTTATTTATTTTTTGTATTTATCTTCATTTTCTAGAATATTTTAGAGATTTTATTTTTTAATTTTTTTTGTCTTTAAAAAGTTTATATGTTACATGTTTCTGAAAATATTTATTATGTGTATATAATTTTAAATTTTTTAACTTTAGCTTTTTTCAGTTTAATATTTTATTTTTTAACATTTTTATTTTTTAAATAATTTATTGTATAGCTTCATCTTTTCAAAACGGAACAAGTTTGAAGATAATTCTTTACCGGTTAATGTAGCATTGGTGAGTGCGCTTTCACTTTGTGGACTTTATTTCCGTTTATAAAGAGCAACGGTTTCTAAGTGGTTTCTAAGTGAAAGGAAAGTTATAGTGAATCTATTTTTGAAAAGAGAAAGAAAAAGTGAAAAAGTTAATATTGTTTTTAGCATTCGGTCTATTTGTGATAATAGCCCATTGTAATGAGTAGTCTACTTAATGTTCTGTTAGAAATATTTTATGGTATCCAATCTAATTAAACATCTTTGTATATGTGCTTGTTATTAATTAAACGTGTAATACGGGCCACAAATGTGTATCAGCCCGGGGGCTTCCTTGTAACCCGTAAGTTAGCCAACTCCTCCTATAAAAGGAGGTTAACTTACGGGAACCCTATCGATAGAGACTTTATAGAATAGAGGTGAGATAGAGAGATTATGATTTTGCCGCTGCTCTGCTTCTCTAGGGAGAGCAGTGGCCAGTTTACACGGTATACCAGATTCGGTTTTTCATCTCATAATCTTCTATCTGCTTCTTCTTAACTGCTTTGGTTGTTTGATTGTTTAGTATTTTGGGTTTATCAATTGGTATCAGAGCCGATGCCTGAAACAAGTTGAATGTATCTGCAATTTTCTTGGATCTAACGAAGAATTCTCTGCTTTTCTTCTCTTTTTCTTCATATAGAGTTTTGCTCCTGTAATCTTGTTTGTGAACGAAAATCTGTAAAAATTATACTGTTGCAATCGCCCTTCAAAGCCGATCCAGCAGCAAATACTCTTTTTTCGATTTCTGCAAATTTTCGTTTTTCGTAGAACTCTACATGAATTGTGAGTTTATGCTTACACACTGCTGCAGAAATGATTTTGACTTGAAACAGATACAGGAGGGATCGTGACCTTCAGGGCTATTCAGAACAGTTTTCAGATTCTCAAAATTCGACAGTTTTTAAAATCGAGAGTTTTAAACTCGCAGTCATGAACTCGAGTTGTAAACTCGCAGTCATGAACTCGAGTTGTAAACTCGCGGTCTTCAACTCGAGTTTTAAACCTCGAGTTCTGGCCTCGAGTTTAAACCTCGAGTTCTGACCTCGAGTTTTAAACCTCGAGTTATGACCTCGAGTTTTAAACCACGAGTTTTGACCTCGAGTTTTAAACCTCGAGTTCTGACCTCGAGTTTTAAAACTCGAGTTCTGACCTCGAGTTTTAAACCTCGAGTTCTGACTTCGAGTTTTAAACATCGAGTTATGACCTCGAGTTTTAAACCTCGAGTTCTGACCTCGAGTTTTAAACCTCAAGTTCTGACCTCGGGTTTTTAAACCTCGAGTTCTGACCTCGGGTTTTTAAACCTCGAGTTTTAAACCTCGAGTTCTGACTTCGAGTTTTAAACCTCGAGTTCTGACCTCGGGGTTTTAAACCTCGATTTCTGACCTTGGGTTTTTAAACCTCGAGTTCTGACCTCGAGTTTTAAACCTCGAGTTCTGACCTTGAGTTTTAAACCTTGAGTTTTTAAAATTTGAGAGTTTTGGAATTGCGAGTTTTGGAACTTATTTCGAGTTTTAGGAACTCGATGTTTTGGATTTCGACATTCTGAAAAATTTCAGAATTTTTAGAATTTCTCGATGTTTTGAATCTTTCAAAGTTTGCAGTTTCTTGGAACTCGTAATTCGAATCTTGATATCCTTTGCAGTTCATCGAAGCTTCACATTATAGATTTCTGAATGATTCCATGTTTATCAAATTTTTAGAAGTTTTCGATGTTCTGATGTTTTTCAAATAGCAAGTTTTTGATATTATGAGGTTTTCAAAACTCCAAAGTTTTCGATGTTCCAAACATTTTGAAATTCTGAAGATTTCATAATTCTGAGGTCTGTTTTGCAGGTGGATTTCGCCATTATTCTTCGAGGCAAACTCGAAATTAAAATCTCGAGATTAGGATTTAGAGTTTTTGCCTTAGAATTCTGTTTAATTTCACCTACTCTCGAAATTCAACATTGAGAACCTCAACCTCGAAAAAATTTCCTCAAAAACTCAAAATTAGAGATTTTTTGCGACACCGCACTGTTTTGGCCATAACTTTTGACTCGGTGATCCGATTTGAGCAAACCTTTTTTGTTGGAAAGCTAACTAAAAGATCTATATTAATTTTCCAGCTATGTCACAGAACCCTTTCTCACGCGCCCTCACTCGCAGTCCTTGAGGGTCAAAACGTTAGTTTTCCGACAAACATTGTAAATCACCGATGTCCAGGTCAAAACTTAGGCAAATCTGTTCAAATTCTTTCAATGTCAACCATGAGGTCAAAGATTTTCTATGCTCCACTGAAAAGGTCCGAAAATCGTATATAATTCAATCAACCTCGCGTCAACGGTCATCTTACAACAATCAACAATCAACCACTGAAACCTCCTTTGACTCATCAACATTATGTGATCATCAATATGCTGAAATTCTACATGTTGAGCTCAGGGAAACAGTCATGTGTGGTACTTGTTCAGATTGCTCCATACACATGGCGGGTATGACGAGCTGTGAGCAATCAATCCTTGCACATTCTGAGGGGGAGTTTCAGTTTTCTCCTCCTGGCGCCTTACACCGACAAAGCAAGGAATCTCTCAACGGATGCAACATTCTAAGGGAAGTGTTCAATGTTATCCTCCCTGATGCCTAACAATGACAAAGCATACCGAGTGCTCCAGTTGAGGGGGGGGGGGGGGGTACAGAGAGAAAATCAATGAGAGAACATGTTCCTATGGCTTAGTAAACCCAACTAAAGCCTACCCAAGGGACAAAACCGAGAGTAAGTGAGTGAGTTAGTGAGTGAGAGTAATCATTATGAGAGTTAGGAAGCAGAAGGCTCAAGTGAGAAGAAAAACAATAATCAATGATGAGTCTGCTACCTCAACTACCTATTATCCATTGAACATTTACTCCTAGCCACTCAAATACTCTGGACAATTCCCAAATAGGTTCAGGACTGATTTAATCAGATCTCGAGTAGAAGTCACTGCATCTTGTCCAACAGTGCACGTTGAACCCTACCCAAGACCACTC